CATAGATAACATTCCAGGGGTCGATCGGATCGAGTCGGCCAATTCCGGACTTCGATAATGATGCATGGGCACCGGGTTTGAAGCGCGAGGTGATCAACAGCTTGAGATTCGAGAATGCCGCTGGTGTGGATGGTGGTAAGGTCATCGTAATGCCGCAGGGAACCGAGCTTCTAGGTGAGTGGTTGTTGTTGATAGACCTTAAGTAAGATAAAGCCTACATGGGTGACTACAGCGAACCAACACGCTGCATGCCTTCGACGGCCTTGATCTGTGCCCTGAATTCGCACTTTTACTCTAGATACCGTGGAGGCCACTAGCCAATTGTGTACCATCCTGCACTTTCTCACACATTCTTAGTACGTCGGTACAGGTAATTCTTAGCTGGTGTCGTATATCATGGGATCTCTTTCTCATTCTACTTAAATTCCTCTCTCCGTCCTTTTCGAATTTGCTCTTTTTCTTCTTGTACTAGCCATCATTTTGTTTTTCACAGCGATTATACAATTTCTTGTTACTTGAAGTTGTCTAAATACAGACTTCTACTAGTGATAAGTCGTCCCCGTGACTTAAAGCCTACACTAGCCGAAAATTGAACACTAAATTCTGCCTCCCCGCAACCTCCGAGCCTTTGTTCTTCCGTCCTGTTAATTAGCTTTGAATTTTCATCTCTGCAATCATGTCCCCTCCTAGCATTCAAGATGTTGGTGTTCATGCCACCAGCGATACCACCGCCGTGACAATTCCTGATCCTCTCACCTGTGACGATGTTACTGCAAGACGATCAAAATCTGGTCCTTTCAAAGGAGGAGTAGCTGCATCTACTAGCAGTGAGTTTTTCAAATCAAAGGTAAGTTCTGTCCCTGCTGCCTTCCTTCTTTGAGCATTTCTGACTTCGATTCCAAACAGGCTACATGGAAGCCTATCTCAAAGAAATGGGACCGTGAGTGATTCCCCAACTACATGAAGCTTGCAAAATGTTACAATTCAGCTATTAGATTTGTAAGGGCTTAGAGCCATAATAACAATGGGTGCTGCAGACCGTTTGAATGGAGAGAGCAAATCCCGTCAAGCGTCAACTTTGAAGAATGCAGCTAAGTATCTGTCTACTCCTGGTATGCATCAGAATTTTCCTCCTCTTTATATAAGATTTTTGACTTATTACTGCTCATAGGGATGATTTCTCTTGGCGGTGGACTTCCTTCAAGCAGTTACTTCCCCTTCCAGTACATAGACGTCAAGATTCCTTCCATTGGAAAGTTCTCGGAAGCCGAAACTTTAGAGTCGGGGAAAGTTATGCATATCGGAAAGCATGACGTTAAAGAAGGCAAATCTGCGTTTGATCTTTCAATTTCACTCAACTATGGACAAGGAACAGGATCAGCTCAAATCCTTAGATGGATAACTGAGCACACTGAGGTAGGACGTTGGGTTCAAGGGGTCTTCAGAGAGGAAATGCTAATTAATCACCTCTCTAGATTGTTCACGACCCTCCTTATCAAGACTGGCAGTGCGTCACAAGCGTTGGAAGTACATCTGCACTAGACATGATTTACCGCATGTTCCTAAACAGGGGAGACTTCATCATCTCCGAGGAGTACACTTTTGCTACAGCTGTAGAAACTGCTCTCCCGTTGGGCTGCAGAATGATTGGCGTGAAGTTAGATGCTGAAGGAATGCTCCCCGAAGCTCTCGATGAGCTCCTTGAGAATTGGGACGAGGGTGCCCGGGGTGCACCAAAGCCATTCCTACTCTATACAGTTCCATCAGGGCAGAACCCAACTGGTGCAACTATGAGTACGGGGCGCAGAGAAGAAATTTACAAGGTTGCTCAAAAACATGATTTGATTATCATTGAAGACGAACCTTACTACTTTCTTCAAATGCAGCCCTACACAGGACGAGATGCTCCTGCTGTACCGTTGCCTAAGAACCGCGAAGAGTTCCTCAAATCTCTTGTTCCATCTCTTCTTCGTATGGATGTCGATGGACGTGTGATTCGCGTTGACTCTTTTTCTAAGGTCCTTGCACCGGGATCTCGAGTGGGATGGATTACCGCAACTGCACAGATCTGTGAGCGAATGATCAGACATAACGAAGTCTCTGTTCAGAATCCATCCGGATTTGCGCAGGTGATTCTCCACAAACTGTTGGACGAAGAATGGGGCCACGCTGGTTATCTGGATTGGTTAATTAACCTTAGGGCGGAATATACACAAAGAAGAGATGTGTTACTGCACGCGTGCGAGGACTATCTGCCTGCAGAAATTGCCAGCTGGACACCCCCTGCGGCAGGTATGTTCCACTGGATCAAGATTGCGGTCGAAAAGCACCCCGATTTCGGGACCAAGTCTATCCGCACAATTGAGAATGAACTTTTTCTTGCGGCTGTAGCCGAGAATGTCTTGATTTCTCCGGGAAGCTGGTTCTCGGCGGATAAGAATGTTGAGCACGACGAAATGTTTTTCAGAGCTACGTTTGCTGCTGCTGAGGTTAGTAATAGTCTTCGCTCCTACTCATAGGTAATTCATTCTAACTAGATTTTATTATATAGAATGCTGCCATGACTGAAGCTATTAAACGTTTCGGAGCTGCGATCCAGAAAATATTCAAACTGGATTAGAGGTCGGACATTAGAAATTGACACAATACCACTATACATGTACATACAAGCAGTTTATCTAACATGCCTAGCCATTGGAGTCACTGCGCATGCTTTATGAGGGTTATTCAATTGAATTCATTAGATGAGGCCAATCAGCATATATATGTATCATAATTTAAGCTTCATATATTATCCTTCTGTAGTACAGGAATTTTGGTATCCCATTGAAGCTTTTTAAAGTTCCAGACCTAAACATCCATACAATACAAAAACGAACCCACACGAGGAAAGAAAGTTATACCGGATCTAGTTGATAAAGTTGGTACAGAAAAGGTGGAGGATGACACTGCCAAAAACGAAATCCGCGAATGCCCTATTACAGGATACCGTGAGCCTTATTTTTCCCAATAAAGCTTGAAAAGATATCGGAGGGGAGCCAAACCGTTCAGGAGAAACACTAGAGAATTCCTTTTTATTTGCTGGGTTGGATTGTATACGTAGAGAAGCTGAGAAGATTGATGTTAGTAGTTGATCTGGAATCAATAGTGCGCAAAGAGAGCCGGATTTATGGTTCATACCAGTCAATACAAATTGACCCACAGTCGCAGAGAAACCAGCTAGGAAGGCATTGAATGGCTATTTATTGCAAAATGTTAGTGAAAGATCGTCTCCGAGCTTTGTTTCACCATACTGCAGGCAAACAAAGGCTATCGTGGCCTTAAGAGCTGACGCGACATACATAATTCCCTGCAATCACACAATAAGCAAATTGCAGGACTCCCGTGATAACCAAGAAGCCCAAGAAGGCATCAATCAGCTTAGTGCGCTGAGCTGTGGAGCTGGTATAATTTTGATAGACCTTGCCAAAGATGGTGAATGGGTTATTTGAGGAAGCAGAAGCTTTTGAGGGTGCGGAAGCAACTGTTGTCGCGGGCGCAGAGGGCGCCGAGGGCGCCGGTGTATTGACAGTAGAAGCACTATTCTTCTTGGGTGCCATTGTAAGTTTTTTCTTTGAGGGTTCGGTATGGTTCTGCAGTTGTTGGTGTGGATTTTACTGATGAGGGTTAGGATGGGAGAATGGTACAGGCGACGTTGTCATGAAGCCGCGTTGCATGTTGAGAGCTTCCCTCGAAATATCCCTACCACTCGTTTACTAACGATAACACTCATCACTGCCAACCCCGCGCAAACAAACATATAACACAAACCAAATTAACAATGGTAGGGCTGAACTATTTGATTTTGTTAAATCTGGCGGAAAATTTCTGACATAGTATATCCTCCATAGGCTGATCTTCCCGCTCTCATTCTGGGTGCCTTGTGCGCTTTCGGAGGAACTATGGGATACATGTATGAGACCAAATCCTTAGACAAAACTTAAGGCCATCTGATATCTGACACGTCCGGAAACAAACAAATAGTCGCACAGGCTCTGTTCCGTCCGTCGGTAATTCTCCAATATCTCTGATAGAGCATCTATGAAGTGTTACTGATCCGAGATATCTAGTTGCCGGTGTGGGTGTTGGCGCTCTTTATGGATACGGAGGGCTTCGGATTAAGAACGGACAGCCTTACGGTATCGAGGTATACTAGAAAATATGTTACTAGGGCCAATGAAGAAAACTGACCAAACTGTTTTACAACGTATAGACAGCTTTACTTGCTTCATTGATCTTAGGAGCTTCCAGCCTTCCCAGGGCCATCAAGGTAGGCTAGACAAATTTAAGTTTGATATTCGTTAGACTAATATCTTTATGCAGACTGGCAAACCTCTTCCAATTGTAAGTTTGTGAAGTCTATATGCATCTTTCTGATTGTTAGACTAACCAAGAATCTGAAATGTAAAGGGATTGAGCGTGCTGGTGAGTTTTCCTGTGTGCCCAAATACAATACGTCCAGTATCTGACAGAGAACTCAGGCTACTTATGGACTATTTTACTATGGCCTGAAATACAGACAGGTCAACTAGCTAGCTTGAAGGGAATTCGTGGACTTTTCTATATAGAGATCTGAGTAATAAAATCAATTGCAAGCAGTTCAAAAATAATTAAAACAGATGTAGTATGTTCTCTTGATGGTGTTTGCTCCTCTCAAACCTTAGAGTGGGATCGTAGCAAGTTGTTTAATAGGCTCAAGAGCATCTTTTTGTTATTCATTCCACTACTTAGTACATACACTCTCAGACCATAAAATGTGTGATTGCTTGGCAACGGACGATCTAAGAGGGTCACGTGCGCTCATCCATGCAGAGTTCCAGGGTTTCTTGAGCCTCTAGAGCCGCACCTAGAGTGCCCTTTAAAGTGTGAAGTTAGGACCTTACATACATCTTACATACAAGCGATCACCACCCCATATCCACGGATACCTCCCTTGGCCAGGCTAACTCCACAGGAATCCTATGCTCAATTCACCCAAATACGATCTTAGGGGCGGGAAGAGGAGAGTAGGAATGCGGGCGACAGATGGACCGAAGGGTTCGCTGTTATCTACCTTCAGAAACCCCACAGGCGGCCTTGAATCCCGGGATACTAATAAAAAGAAAATGGGAACATCTGGCCAGAGCAATGGATTCGCTTCAGGAGGTAATGGCTCATTTATAAATTTCGAGGACGAAGAAGACGATGAAGAGGAGGAAGTTACAAGCACCCGAGCACCGTCTGTCACCGGATCATCACAAGGCGCCCGCGCTCGCCTCCCAACCTCATCTCTCAGTACGAAAGTCAGCGATGAATTGGGGGATGTTTACTGCGATGTTGAAGACTTTCCTACACCTAAACAGCCCAAGGCGAAATCATTGCTGGGGAACCTTTCGGACGACACTCCATTCGCGGATGAGCAACGGAGAGGAGATATTAAACCAACAGTATGGAAGAGCAAAAACACCAAGGAAAAAGAGGATGAGGAGTGGAGAAAAGAAACACAAATGTTGCTAAGAGAGAATGAAAAGCGACGGATGAATCCACAACACATCCGAGGGGCAGGCTTTGATACCGAAGGGGTTAAGAAAATGGCAAAGAAAACACCCGTAGGGAGTGGTTGGGATACTGGGCCGACCAAGAAGAAGCTCTCGACGTACAAAAGGAAGGCGACATTTGGTGGCCGAAACCGTATGTGGTTATTTACCGCCTTACCATTCATGGATATTATTATTGACTCTTGAATAGGAAAAAGTACTCAAACAAAGACAAATTTGGACTCAGACTTTGAGGACGAGAACAAGAAAGAATCTAAATCTGAGTCATCAAATTTTAGCACTGCGCAGCCAGTTGATGGATTCAGGGATCCTACTAAGCTCTATGCACTTCCAGAGAAAGAAATCAAAGAAGATGTTTCTGCCCAAATTGTTGCTTCCAAGAAAGAGTTTAGAATTCCTCCACCGTTGCCGCCGAAAAAAGATAGTATGCTACACCTACGCCTTCCAGCACATAAAAACTTACATTTTATAGCAACGGAGGAAAATTCCCCACAATCAAAATTTCCTGGGTTCAAGGATCCGACGGAGATGTATAAACTGTCCAAAGGCACAACACCAGAACCAAAAAGTCCAAAATTCTCGCCGTTCAACAATTCTTTCAATCTGAAGCGTGAGATTTCAATTTTAATTACTAATAGCAAAAGCTGATGTGGACGTCTAGACAACCATAAATTCGAAGAAAAGGAATCACAAGCGCGGACTTACTATGTAGATGACCCCGGCGATGACATTGCTAGCTTTAAGGGTTCGGAGAAAGCAGGTATGAACTTCAAAGTATCGTTTGGCCCGCCCCACATGTTAATTGAAGACAGACTCAAAAAAAAGAAAGGCATCGAAAGCTATTGACTTGAATTCGAAAGAAGATCGGATTGGAAAGGATGGCGGGTTTTCATCGCTAGATGACGCTGAGTTTTCTGTTAACGAATCACAATCATCTTCTCAAGTGCGGCACATGGACGAGATCAGTCTTATACTACAAGAGACTAAGTTGCGGGAACAGGCAAAAAAGCGGAAAGCAATAACCAGCATATCCGACCTCTGTGTCATCTGCAATGAGGTTCTCCCAATCGGCACATTGGATGCTTGGAGATATGACGACGGGGAGCTCAAGCCAATCCGGATGGCAGAATGGGCCATAATTTGCAATAAACATAAGGAGGCAGGATTCCAAGAACAATGGGACAAGAGGGGGTATCCTGTGATCAATTGGGGAGAACTGAAGAAAAGAGTAGAGCGCCACCACCAGATTCTGGTTGACATCGTCACGAATAAAGTTACATCTCCATTCAGAGATGTCCTTGTGTCACAGCAAAAGGAAACAAGAGGTAATGCAGCGATGTTACTACGCAAAGATGTTCGGTTACAATACCCCGGCTATTATGGTCCAAGAGGCTCCTCAATTTTGTATGTACCTTCATTACTCCCCAGTTCCTTTAATTCATCACTTTGCTGATTTTGAGCCTTTCTTTATAGGCTCCACGAAATCACAACAAGGCTCGGGTCCTTTATCGGTGATGCTGCTAAAAAGGATAGATTAATTGGGCAAGGAGGTGTAAGTGCATTTATCCAAACAGTTCTAGTACCGGAACTCGGCGTGCGTCTCATAATGGAAGACTTGAAAGTGGGCGAGCTAGAAGCTAGGAAAATCCTAGATGCAAGCCAGGATCTTGGTGAGAAGCTGCATTTCAATGACTATATAGAAGACATATACGACGAGGAGGATGGCCCTTGGTTCGACATCAATGTAACTCAGACGGTGGCGCCAGTAGCCGAGAAGAAACGCGGTCGACTCGTGGATCTTTGCGATTCAGACTTGAGTTCTGACTAGTAGTTATCGGTGTGCTATATATATATATATATGCATGCACGACAACCTGGTTTACTGATGATATTCATTTTTTACGGAGTTCAAAAGATTATTTAGGATATTGTTCTTTTCTTTTATGGCTCAGACTACTTAGACTGATAGGTTTCTGACGAGGAGACGCCTCCATGGCACCCTTGTATTTTAATTAATAATAAATTGGCATGCTTTTATCGATAGTTCTGCACGTGAGTGTCAATTTTGATGTGCTTTAATCATGAGAGATCACTCGACTACTCTCTGCCTACACTGGGCTTTCGAAGTCTAATTAGCTGTACTTGAGGCTATGGACTATCCCCGTATCTGATCCGACTCGTAGCGTGTGGTATTTAGTATCTACGGCACGGTAATTACATCGTACTGTACTTAATTTAACATTTCTGTTAACATGTACTACATATGTACAAAACAGTTCCTGTTATATATTGTCGACTACATGTACATACATACAAGTACATGTATATACAGCTATACATAGTTATCCAACAAAAGATATTGTTTGATATTGAGTCAATTCGTGAAATTAGAATCTCTAGCTATGAGTATTGTATTTAAGTATGGCGCGAGAAGGCATAGGGGGTGGGTGTGTCAACTTCAGAGGAACCTTTTTGTATGGGAATTAGAGAAAATTCCACCGTTAGGCTAGGCGCTAGTACCATTGTGTGAGTAGATCTCCCAATTTCTATAGATTGATTGGCTGCAAACGCCGAAGTTTACACACCTACCCACCATAGCTTCTCGAGCCATATGTAGATGGTACTTTCTGTTTGACTCACCCAAGAGAAAAAGCAATCATTGACATCATCAAGGGTTAGGTGCGGCTGTTGTCACCTTAGTCACAGCGCGTAAATCTGTTCGCGCGCCCAGTTCAGTCGCGCAACACCGCTGCCGTCTTTCACCCCATTTCCTTACCAACAATCTCCTATCCCACGGAAGAAGCAAAGTATCAACAAATCATTATGGCTTTCTTCGGCGGAAATACTGCTCAGTCTGGCCCCTCCGCCGCTGCCAACGCAAACAACCAAGGCGACTTAAGTAAAGATATAGAGCTCTCATCGCCGCCAGAGGATAGTGTCTCCGACATCTCGTTTTCTTCGCAGTCGGAACACTTAGCTGTTGCGAGTTGGGACAAGAAGGTTAGAATATACGAAATTTCTGATACTGGGAGCTCCGTTGGAAAGGCCGCGTACGATCATGAAGGTCCTGTGCTATCGGTAGTTTGGTCTAAAGTGAGTTCGCATTTCCTCCGATCTTTGAACCACAGGTGGTTGGATACGTACTGAAAAAACATACAGGATGGATCGAAAGTTATTTCTGGAGGTGCAGACAAAGCAGCTCGCATGTATGACCTCCAATCCGGCGTGAGCACCCAAGTAGCAGTCCATGATCAGCCTATTCGAGCTTGTCGTTTCATCCAGCCACCGAACGGAGCGGAAATGTTGGTAACGGGGTCTTGGGACAAAAGCTTGAAGTATTGGGATCTAAGACAACAAGCACCTGTGGCTACATTGCAGTTATCTGAGAGGGTTTATACTCTAGATGTCGCACAGAGCCTGATGGTTGTTGGGTTAGCTGAGAAGCAGATTGAAATTGTCAATCTTGCGAATCCTACTGCGATCTGGAAGACAATCCCAAGCCCGTTGAAATGGCAGACTAGGGTTGTGACCTGCTTTCCGGATGCGTCCGGATTTGCGGTAGGGAGTATCGAGGGAAGATGTGCGATTCAGTATGTGGACGAGAAGCAATCAAAGTATGTCATCTGTTTCCAACCCTGAACTGTTGTTTGTAGTGAACACCGCTAATAACTACACAGCATGAATTTCTCTTTTAAATGTCACCGGGAAACCCCCGTGGGCCCCGTGGGCCCCGTGGGTACTCCTAACGTCAACGTTTTCTCCGTCAACGCTATTTCTTTTCATCCAACATATGGCACATTCTCAACCGCCGGTTCAGATGGAACTTTTCATTTCTGGTACGTAGTTATTTCTACCTTGGCAAGCGGAAATTCACTAACTCCCTACCAGGGACAAGGATGCAAAGCATCGTCTCAAAGGCTATCCTTCTGTCAATGGCACGATCCCTGCCACCGCATTCAACAGAAATGGCTCCATATTTGCCTACGCTATATCTTACGATTGGAGCAAAGGTCATCAATCTAACAATCCGCAATACCCAATTAAGGTCATGCTTCATCCTATTAAGGATGATGAAGCAAAGCCGAAACCAGTTGTCAAGAAGCGTTAAATTAACAGGGCTTTTACACGGTTGAATTTTTGTTTTTTGTTTGGTACATCAATGGCAATGTTCATGGGTGGGGCGGGCGTTCTTGTAATTGAATTTTACGATATCGCAAAAATTGCACGAAATAATGAGCCTATGAAATAGGTTGTGGTTGAGCTCAGAGTAGCATCTATCACATTTTCTGGCCTTTCATTTCTTTATTCATAGCATCTTTATCGATGGGTGCAATAGGAGATACGGTGGTGTACTCTAGAATATCAGGTAATGAAGCATCCTATACAATGATACCCACAAAGTTCACTTCTTTGTCTCTATCTTTTCAGTGTGCACACCTACATGTAGTTATATTTGCCAAAATACTATGCATTGCTGGGGGTATCTAGAATGCACTGTCCGATGCAGTAGATTTAGTTTGAGGTTTCCAGAAGTAGTTAAACTATTGTATGTACCTACATGTACATATTGACCGTATTAAATCGATGCCAAGAATAACCTATTCAGCCCCAAGCAGCCCCACCAAAGCTTATGTAGACGACAACTTCGTTGATTGCCGAGCGAGCTGTATCTTACCTACTTTACGCACCTATAACCAAAATCAACAGACAAGGCGAATATGACCGTTGCTGATCACCCCAAATGGTAAAGCGCTCACGACCCATCAGTTCTGATAGCTAATTTGAACCCCCTAGATAGCTAATATAACCCCGGTGAACAGGAAACATCTCAATAGAATTCTCTCCCGCGTGGGACCGTTCACAGAAGAGGGCTATGATCCAGACGAACAGAAGGCATTTTTGGCGAAGAGTAAGATTCTGTAAGACCCCCGAGAGCGAAACTCTTGTCCCGCTAAGCTGTTCGAAAGGTTATAGCTAATAAAGGTTGCGGTAGGGTTATGTATGTATATAAAGTCTCAGTCTTAAGCTATGAATAGATCATGGCCTAATGAGCTAGATATTAACTTTTGCCAAAGCGGGGCTGGGGGTCTAGGATGCGAGATTCTCAAAAATCTGGCGCTGTCTGGATTTACGGACATCCATGTTATTGATATGGGTTTGTTTTGCCTCGTCCAGGTCGGGTCTATGGCTCAGCTGACCTGAATATGTTATAGATACAATTGATGTCTCCAACTTGAACCGCCAATTTCTTTTTCGGGCCGCAGATGTAGGCAAGCCTAAAGCTACTGTGGCAGCCGAGTTCGTAATGAGGCGTGTGAAGGGTGTTACCATAACTCCATACTACGGTGCTATCCAGGACAAAGGGCCCGATTATTACATGCAATTTCAGCTGGTTATCTGTGGACTGGATTCAGTGGAGGCTCGAAGATGGATTAATGCAACTTTGGTTGATATGGTCGATCCAGAGAATCAGGAGAGCCTGAAGCCCTTGATAGATGGTGGTACTGAGGGTGGGTTTCATAATCACGTGGGAAGGTGAAATATTAATTGTGGTGATAGGGTTTAAGGGACAGTCGAGAGTCATCTTACCAACATTGAGCTCGTGTTACGAATGCTCGCTAGATATGCTGACCCCGAGGGCCGCAGTACCAATGTGTACACTTGCGTCTATACCCCGCCAACCGGCACATTGCATCGAGTGGGCAAGTATCCTAGAGTGGCCACGGATCATGGGAGGTAATATTGGCCCTGGGCATTGATCTCACTTAAACAAGCCACTTACAAATTCCAGATAAAAAACTTGACAACGATGATCCAGAACACATCACATGGCTTTATGAAAAAGCTCTTGAGCGTGCGAAGGAATTCAATATTTCCGGTGTGACATACAGTATGACTCAAGGAGTTGTCAAGAATATCATCCCAGCCATCGCATCCACGAATGCCATCATTGCGGCATCGTGCTGCAATGAGGCTTTGAAGATCATAACAAGTTGCAGTCCTTTTATGAATAATTATATGATGTATATGGGCGATGAAGGCGTCTATACTCATACTTTTGAGCACGAAAAGAAAGAGGGATGCCCTGTTTGTGGAACTTTGGCGACGGACTATGAGGCGAGTGGCGAGTGGACATTGGATGAGTTTATTGAGCGGTTGAAGGAGAAGCCTGACATGTAAGACCATTAAATACCCCACACAAAATACCTGATGCTGATAATATATAGTCAAATTAAAAAACCAACCCTCTCAACAGAACGCCGGAAACTTTACTATGCAGGGCCGCCACAGCTGATGGAAATGACGAGGCCAAATCTTGATAAAAAACTGAAGGACCTGATGGATAGCGGCGAGGAGGTTGCAATTACAGACCCTGGACTTCCGTTCAGTTTGAGGCTGAACGTAATCTTCTCTAAGTAAGATTTATCAGCTAAGGCATGCGTAGAGAAAGTAATTTTATTTGGTGGTTGGCGTTTTATTTTAGCAGCGGAAAAAAGTCTAGATAAATATTACATGTCTCACCTCACACCAGTCCATCGCACGGACACAACGAATCCTAAACCTCACCACTTTGCATATGGGCTTTATTAGACATGGAAAACCCATCTGGCTAAAGGTAAACAATTTAGGCGTATTTCATTAGACATAGTTTGTTCCCAAACTCAGGTGTCCCTATCCGAAGAGCAATCCGAATTAGAGTAATCAGAAAATACTCATAATGGATCATTTCCAGGTGAAAAATCTAGATGACCATGAGAAGCAGGTCAACATACCGGCAAGATTGATTGTTAGCTAGAGGGAAGGACTGTAACTCCTTTAAGAAACCGGCTTTTTCGGGCTTAAAAAATATACATTTCATATATCAAACCGCGTGGAGAATTCATGTAGTTAATGTTTATTTTATTACTTGTAATCCTACTTGTATCTACTAGTAGCTACTACATGTAGTACTACTACATATAGTAGCTACTCGTTTTAGATTTACCTAGTAATTTGTCGAAAATCTTGGCCACAAGACGTCCTCACTAGATCGAAATAGATAATTTTTGTAATATTCCTATTTATAGGCGCCGCACTGACCGACAAAGCTAAGGGTTAGCGTTTTCAACCTAAATTTATTGGGTTGTATGCTCTTTTCGAGTATGAATGCGATGTGACCGAGCTTATATATATGGATTATACATTCGAAAACAGAAATTTGTAGACCTCTACTTTACATCTAACCAAATTAAGGTTTAATGAATTAAACAAACAAACAAACAAAAAATTAAGGTTGCATTTAGTAGTCATGATTTATCATTCGGTTTTGGCCACAGTCTCTTCCGCCCCGAGAAGTTGATTTTGGTCTCTCTGGCACTGTCATTCCTACAAACTTTTATGTGGATAATTATACGCTGTAATCATACCCTTTATATGTTACAAAGTGGTTGGGTTCTGAGTACCTTAGATTGTAATTGGCCTCTGCTTATATTTTCATATCTTACAATCTATTGATGGTTAAAGTGTACTGATCATTGTTATATGTAGATTAAAGGTTCTCATAGGTAACTATTATATAAGTATATACATGTTCATGTACGTTATAAATTAGTATGGTAAATTATTAGTAACCGTGATAACTCCTATAGTCATGTCGAATCACGCTTATCTGAATGATAAAGAGATATAACGATCCTAACTGAGAATCTTAGGTCTGTATCCTGGTGTGTGAACGGGAGGCTTTTGAAGGTGGACATACTGAGGCTATCTTATTTATGACTAACTAATGTACATCTAAAAATAATACATCTGGTGTTATTAATGGTACCATGAGATTATCTCGCCATAGAGTACCGGGCTCATCGTGGTTTCATTCTAGCTTAGGCGTACTCGTTGACTTGGTATATGGAGATGTTGGTGTTATAACATGATAGTAGGATATAGATAAGTTTCCGACATTCAAAGAGTCTAGAAACTTTTCTCTTCCAACCCGACCTTCTCAAGTCCTTAAAGAAACGAACCATAAGACTTCAATGACAGCAGCACCTCTGGCAGCACCTCTGGAACCGTTCTGTCAACCTTCTCATTACTAGCCATACTTTGACTTTATAATGCATAAACTCTATTAGGTAATCAACTGCTCTGTACCCTGTATCATTTCTGATACACATATCAGCCTGATTTTCTAACAGTGTCTTGATTTTTGGCCATGAACCCCCAATACAAGCCATATGAAGTGGTGTTCGTTTACGGAAATCCAGTGCATCGACTCTCGCTCCGTTTCGTATGAGCGTCCTCAAGTGCTTGTGGCTAGCCCCGGACCAGCCTGCCGCAGCATGATGGAGAGGCGTTTGTTTATACCGATCACGAGCATTTGTATCGGCACCGTTCCGTATAAGATACTCCAAGGGACCGATATCCTTGTTTGACGCCGCCATGTGAAGAGCGCTTTGCCGTAGATAGTTCCTTGACACGATTGTCTGGATGCCAGTCTCATATATTACTCTGACAGCAGTCTCATTACTTCCCATAGCCGCTGTGAGAAATGCAGTTTGGTGATTCCTTGAAAATAAAAAACCCGGACAATATGGCGTATAATCGTCAGGCAAATCATACAACTTTTTCAACTTTCCCAAAGGCTGTAGCCTGGCATCATTCAAGCCATGGTTAATATACAATTTGGCAAGCGGTATATTTTCGTTGCTTGCTGCCGAGAGAAGTGCCGCGAATCCCAGTTCAGGACACTCGATAGCCATCCGCTGAAGTTTTGGGTTAAGAACAATAGCAAGTCTTCTGTTTGTGCGGATGAGACAACTAAGGTCTTTGGCATCAAGCTGGCACCCGATTTTCACGAGGATCTCGGTGGGTAGACCGGGGAGGGTAAGCATTAGATAGGAAACTAAAATTAAGGCTGTTAGGCGGTGATTTTCTACTTTACAGCATGTATGTTATGTAGGCAGTTGGGAAATTTCGGGCTGTATAATATTGGGAGGATGGGGATACTTGCTTACATAGGAGATAATAATATTGATTTGCAATTTGCAAAAACTATCTACTTGCAGAAGTATAAATTTTAGATTGAAGATTGGCCCTGCTGGAAAAAGATATAATGAAGTAAAGAGAGAGATGCGGCTGGTCAAATCTTCTTGATGTGGCATTGTGTAAGAATGCCGAACTTCAGGTAGGATAACTAAGGTACATGTAGCACGTATTAAAGCCACCTAGCACTATCGGAGTCTAAATAATCCTAGGTTGGAAACTCGAGAAGATGACACGACACCTGGGGAATAGTATCTATCTGTTTATACGCTTAATGGATCGATTTTGGAATATCCTTAATTGGTGTCATAATATCCATCCAAAAACTCCAGTTATATCTGCACACCTAGTACAGATTTTGTTATCTCAAAGATGGTAATGATGATCTCTTTCTTTAAGGAGTGCTATTAGACATGTTCGTGGGTACGGTGACTGCGAGGGGATATGTATGCGAACGGCTTTTTTTCTCTTTGGGACTACAGCCGTGTTAAACAAGTCTTGTCAGTGGATGACAACGCGATAGCGGCACATTGAACACAGCTCTCCTCAACAATTATGAGTCTAAAGGGCTTGAAATTAAGAGGATAGAATATTTAGGATACTATTTATTATACTTTGAAGTCTTGTGAATTTGCAATTAATATTAAATGTGTTGCTTCAATGAGAAATTTCAGCTGTAAATGGTGATTTGGGCCCAAATTCTTTACTCACAATCTCAACACCAATAAGAGCTTTCTTCAAGGTCTAAATTTCTATCTCGAGTATATGACCCTGAATACCTTTGATAGAACCACAGAAATTTTATGGCTAGTGCATGTGTAGCTATTCTCTTAGAAGTATCGAAATTATAGTATTCACTAATCACTATGTCACAAGAGCAGAAATACAGATATAATTTTGTAGGCAAGAACAACTGTATTCTGGATGTCTATGATGCATAATTATCTTGTTTTAATCTAATTCACTTAATGGTTGTTGAGTGGGAAGGATTTTAATATTTCGTGTGGTGCTGATTGACAGGACTTTTTTAACACGACTGTACATGACCTACAGTAACTTATTTTCCGGTCTCCGAATCCTTGGCTTCAGCCCTGTTACACAGAGGAATCGTCTAGACGCGCTAAAGGAATTGCGGTTTAGTCAGGCAGAAGTGACGTCTGCAAGCACGTGTTAATTGGTACTATTAAGGGCTAGGGTTGCTTTAGACGCAACGTCGGGGTTGTAACACGACCACACGCGTGAGCGTGTCAATACCAAGCTCAAAAACCGCGACAAAGCCAAAAAAAAAAAAAAAGCATGGAAGGATTGTCGTCACAAGAGCTGCAGGACGATGACTTTGACTCCAAGGAGCATCAGGTAATACCTCTTAGAGATGCGTTTAGTTCAATTGTGTTGACTGTTGTAACAGGCCTGCTACGTCTACACGCCAGAAGATCGAGATGACCGACCAACTAAACGTCGCCGTACGGTAAAAGGGAAAACCAAACAAACCGAGACAGAAAGTGCACAAGAATCAAGTAACAAATGTCCATTTCCGGTTCTGCTTAATGGAGGCGAAAAGGAGGAAATGGTCAAGTTGCGATATGAGACGTATTGCCGACTATGGGGGGAGCAACAGGAGAGGACAAATGTAAGGGAGTGTATGTTAATAATAAGAGTAATTAGCGCTGACCACCGGAGTAGACGATTCTCCAATCTTTCAATAATAAAACGCTCGAAGATGTTTCCGGATTTGTTAAAAGCTCTACAGCGGAAAGGTAATTGATGATCTTGTTGAAATTGTCGCATATTCTGTGTTAACACCTGGTAGTTGTGATGGGAAAATACCTACAGCCTTAATTTTGACCGGCCCAAACATCGCATCGCATGCTCCCCTTTTTGAACAACTGGCTAGTCGTATACGGGACGAAGAGAAGATTGGGCCGGTTGTTATCCTCACTTCAAAAGATGCGACGAATTTGAAGAGCATATTGAAAAAGTTGATCAGAGATGCTACGCAACAGGACGAAGGTATAGACGATGAAGAGGAAGAGATTGTGGGGCGTAGGGGTTCGAAGCTTCTCAATTACGACCTTCAGATCTTACAAAACTGGTGCAAGTTGCATGAAGGGCAAAAGGTCGTTATTGCGATACAAGACACGGAAGCATTCGATGGAACTATCCTCTCGGATTTGGTTTCTCTATTCAGGTTTGCATCTTGAGGCTTTCTCTAGAAGAAAAAAAAAAAATGCTAACCCGACAAAACAGCGCCTACATGGATCGCATACCCTTCACTCTACTCATGGGAATTGCAACCTCCGTTGAAATATTCCACGAGAAGCTTCCAAAGTCTACCATTCGTTTGATGAAGGGCGACAAATTCGACGTAGAGCGCGCTGAGGAATGTCTCGCACAGATTTTCAACGACTCGATGGTCGGAGAAAACCCGATCTTGAGGCTTGGCCCAACAGTCTGTGATTTCCTACTTGTACGATATAGAGACCATAACCAGAGTATTCAGGCCTTCGCAGGCGCGCTTAAGGTATGGCGCACCGTAAATATCTACATGTTATCTCTTGCTAACGAGTAAAAGTACGCATATATGTCGCATTTCTATGCCAACCCTCTCAGCATCATTCTTGCATTTATGGATAAATTGGATGATCTAGGGGAGTTATTGACACCATTACACATTGAAGCTATCAGGAATGTTCCTTCATTCAAAAGATACGTTGAGCAAAAGCTCAACGACAGAGATGTCGCTGAAGTTCGCAAGCTTCTCGGGGACGATGACCACGTCCGCTCAACTGTCATAGCATCTGCTGCCGTTTGCCGTTCCTACGCAGTTTGCATAGGCCAGGCCCTAACGGTACTTGAGATCGCCCGCAGCTGCCAGGTGAATCAGAACCGGATCCCTCGATATGAGCTATACGCACAGGTCCTTTCGGGAGAGCTCCATAGTGGCACCCCCTTGGTTCGAGATCTCTTACTATCAATGAAGAAGATGAACTCTACCTCCCTCTTGAATCTCCTCGACAAAGTCACCAAAGAGGTACAGGTACCCTACCTCATTGAGAAGGTGGCCCCATTGCGTGAAAGCATCATAGCCCTTGTAGAAGCAGCCGAAAGCTCTGGGAAGAAAACTCTCAACAGTGAGTTCAACGTGACGAAAGACTCGCTTCGTGCTACAGCTGTATCGAAGCGGATCCAGCTCGGGGAGCAGAAATCAGCATTAACAAAGGAGGACACGGAGTACTCCAAGTTAGTCCAGCAGGTCCATGACGTCGCCGAGTCCTATTTCAAGGAGAACCTAAAGGGACTGCAAGGGCTATTCTTACACGAGCTATTCTTTTACGATCTGATCTCCCCGCATCGTGATGTACGCACGCATCCTTCCCATCGGCTTGTTTGCGGCCTAGCAATCTAACACAGCGCATCTATAGGTATTTGCACCAAGATCCCGCTCAACCGTCGAACGAGCACTATCAGCGCCACAAGACTACCTCGGCTGCGAGTGCTGCACCGACGAGAGCGGCGAGGAAGTCGGCATCAAGGCCACCCAGCCGCCCGCTAGCATCATATACCAGCTATACCTAGAATCCGGCGCCCTGATCAACATCTTTGACCTGTGGAGGGCCTTCTACCAAGTAATTGGGGGAGACGAGGGCGAGGACTGCGACGAGGCAACTGCACAGTAAGTAGCAATCTTCCCCTCCGCATAAGTACATGATGTAGAGTAGAGTCTGACGGGGCTGTTCGTTCTTTAAGAGCGTTATTTTACAGGGCCTTGGCAGAGATGCGGTTCTTGGGGCTGGTCAAGCATACCAAGAAGAAGGCAGACCATCTGGCGAAATTGGCATGGAAGGGACTGTAAGAGCAGAAATGGCAATGTAAGAATGGGACTATCAAGAAGAGTGGGCGAGGTCAAAAAAACAAATCGGTTAGCGTGTTTTTTATTTTATTTTTATACTAGGTTGTAAGATTAGAGCATACCCTTTTTTTGCGGGGCGGGAGATATGGGAGGAGGAAATGTAGCAATGGAACTTAATGCATCAGTAAAGTCCCTACGATGACATGATACCAGAGCGAGCGGGGGGTCTAGGCACAGGGCTAGACCAGACCTTTGGATTCCGTGAGTTCTTCTTTTTTACAGGACTGCATTTCCGTGATGCTGCATATCAAAAAGAGGCTATGGTGTACTCCAATGGTCGAGAGGGAGGACGTTCGTTTTTCTTGCTTTCAAAACGGAATATGGAATGGATGGGGAGCGGGATCCATAGAGGACGTGGATATGGGGTCATTGATAGCGTTCCCCGCATATCTTGCGGCAGGTACTTGGTAGTGATGATGAGCTTTCTTTCCCTGAGTCCCGCTCCGCTCCGCCACGTGCTTGCCTACATGTACTTATCATATTGTGCACAAGGTGAGAATAAGGGGGGGTATATTAGCGGTAACTACTGGGAAAGGAGGAGCATGTAGGGAGCGCGGGAGATAAGTGTTTGGTACAAGTAGTGTAGACTCTTTTTATTGTTTGCATTTCATGACAGTCGTTTTGACGAGTCAGTATTATTCCCACCACGGCATTTGGACATGACATACGTCACAGACAGAAAAACCCAATCACTAGTTACACCACCACCGACACAGCCGAGTGATACCACATGACCGAAAAACACAGAACAATCTAGGAAAACGCCTACGGTAATTACAGCTTCTCCTTACTCTTCCTCTCGGCCTTGTTATATATCATGCTGCTCTCGACCTTCTCCTTCGGCTTGCTCAGCTCGCCCTCCTCCAGCAGCTCCCGGATCATGTCCTCGTCGCCCACCTGAGGCACAAAGCTAAACTCGGGGTCGCGCCCATACGCGATGCGCGCAGCGTCGACCAGGATCCGCGCCGTCATGCCCCAGACGCGGTAGCGTGTCAGGGTGGCGGCGTCCCAGACTGGTGCTTGGAACTCGTGCATCCTGCGGGTGCTGTGTTAGAGTAGAGGGAAACAGGTGAACGGGAGAGAGAGAGCAAAAAGACTCACTTCCACTTTTTCCCATTCCACGGCACCCAGCTCCCCTGATACCACCCCACGCCGTCCGTCACCTCCGGATCCACACCGCGCGCCTGATCAACGCCGTACCGCACGCCCAGGAAGCGCTCCAGCGGCACCGTAAACACCTTCGCCACCTCCTTCTCGTCGACGCGCGGGGCCAGCGCCTCCTCGACGTTGCTCCGGCGGTCCCAGTGCAGGAAGGCGACGCATGGGCGCACGCCGAGGTTCGTGACGGCCAGCGAGTGCGGCAGCTCCGTCAGGTGCTCGACTGTGAAGGCGCGCGAGTCTAGCGGCAGCCCAATCTCTTCGAAGGCTTCGCGCCGCGCCGTGTGGAAAGCGCTTTCGCCGGCGTCGGCTTTGCCTGTGGGGTGTTAGGAGCTGCGCGCTGTATGTGGAGAGAGAGAGGGGGGAAGCTATGTAAACGGACCTCCGGGGAATGCGACGTGGCCGGCAAAGCTCTTGAGTTTGGCGCTGCGCACGGTGAGCACGACTCTGAGGTCGCCGCGGCGGTCGGCGAAGAGGAGGAGGAGGACGGCGGCGCGGCGGGTGAGGGGGAGGGCGCTGTAGATGTTGGTTAGGGGAGCTGCATAGTTGCGGAGGTTGGCGATGGCTTGCTGGGTGGGTTAGCGGGGGTTTTCAACGCGGGGAGGGGAAGGCGGGGGGGAGGTACCGCGGAGGCGGGGGATAGAGCGGTCATATAGGATCTGTGGATGGGTAGAGAGAGATATAGGAATACATGGAGCTACTTACCATGGTCTGTGTGTGTGTGGGGTACTTACTCTAAAGTACTTGGGCGTCTGGGGTTGTTCCCGAGGCTTATGCACGGCGGGATTACATATGCCGGGGTAGCTATCTCCACGCCGAGGTAAACAGCTGGCCTTGGGTGCCGATCTTTGCTTAAGTTGAAGCTGTTTTGTTTGTTCGGAATATCGTTGGTGGTTGGCTCGTCGATCTTTGTATCAAAGTGCGAATACTTTGAGTATAATTACGACTGTGCCTGCATTTGGGATATCCCTAGCTAGATTCTTTAGAACAATTAATTAAGACGAAGCTTATAATTGGATTAATTAGGCCGTTAAAGACTTGCCTTTCCATTGGTTAGCTGTTGCTGGATGTCAGTCCAGGAAGAAGAAGAAGAGGAGGAACCGGTTCTGTACACTCAAGCTTAACGTATACGTACCCTTGTGTTGCTACCCATGCGATTGTACAAGGTGGCCAGTAGTAGGTCTATAGCTATATAACTTGTTATCTGTCCATAACTACCCTGAGCCCCAAGGTTCGATAAGCCATTATAATGAAGACAGAGATTCGAGGAGAATGATCAATTATATAGTCTTCTAGCAATATCTGGACTTCTATTCTCTTTACTTAAGCTTGATCCTGATTCAGGGTAATCAGTCACTTAATTCATCACAGAAAGAAAAATTCCCTAGGTCAGGATGAAACCATCTACACTCGAGAATATAAATTCTACTCTTGGCAGAGAGGATTTGGTTTCATCCTTCCCATACTAGGGTTTCCTCGATAATTTATCTTAGCTGCGAGCTCGTACTCTGTTGTTGTTATCTTGTTTCTAGCTAGTGCCTCGTGGGTAATAAAACATCTCAATAGTTGGGGCACCACATCTTGAGTGATAGCTTGACTTTGTTATATCAAGCCTCATAACTATAGCTCGAGTTTTGAGAAGAAGGGTATAGGCTCTCTCAGTCCACTGAATACATTAGTTAAAGAACCTATTTTTGACATCCACAAACAGGCAATAATTTACGAATTAGCCCGCTACAAGGCCTTGTAAGCTGAAGAAACCACGTATTCCCAAGATCTATAAGCCTTCTCGTGTAAGTGCGGTTGACACTAGTGAGAATTCCGTACATCGGATTCCTCAGTGTCTTGTGCCACGAGTGATGTATCATGATCGGCAAAGCTTCGTTACCGTGAAAAGGCTTTTAAATCCAAGACGAATCTCCCCCATTGCAGCGAAGCTTGCAGAGAAAAGATATTTACGGGCCCAGAATCAATCGTGCAGACTACTTTGAAGAACTCAATTCGAGGTCTTATCGCAGCTTCTACCATGAGCTCAAGCACTCGTCGATCCCATGCTCAACAATCCGAATCTTTATTACACATAAGCACTAAAAACAGTTCTTAAACTCTTCCTGCGGTCTATAATAAACGATTTCCCCGTAGCATACATGTACGTATTCTGCCACTTCCCCTTATTCCTAGAACCCGGAACTCTCGGGAGCCCACTTTGCAATTTACTTCCTGTAATATATATATATCAGCAAGCCCAGTAACAGAGCCCTGCTCCTCCTGCCAGATTACAGTCGATGCAAAGCCCCCATACCTTTCCATACCCAGCGCAAAACCCCACAAAACCCCAATGGCAAAGCAAAGAAAGAGCCGAAAGAAAGAAATACAAAGTCCCAGATACCCCCTATAGATCTCCTTGTCAATCTAGTTATCACTCTCCGCGCCAAAAGGCGGCAAAGTTACTACCGAAAGACAAGAGAAATCACACGGGAATCCTTAGACCCAGATAGTTTATTTTGCTGAGCTGTGCAAAGGGCTAATACAGCCATTTCTGTACAAGGCCCACGATGATTCCCTTACTCCCATATATGTAGTCAAGATATATATCCCTCTGCTATACACGGCCAATCTCCTCGTGCGGGTATGTCTATAGACTAGTAAGTACAGACTACACAAGAATCCCGAGAGTCCAATCCGACGATTATTCCCCCGGTTCCAAGCGCACTACTTTTATTGTTCCACTTACGTGGATACTTGATAAAACTGCAAAGCCCTAGAAAGCCACCCCACGAACCGAACCCACAAAATCCAAACCCAAATCCTAAATGGCTAGATACCCCCTGTAGATCTCCCTGTTTTACCAGGTCTTCCTCTTCACGCCAAATGAAGGGCGCTCAGCATGACTTCCCCAGTAAAACAGGAGAAACCACACGGGAATCCAGAAAGCCAAACGCCCCACAATCTGCAAAACCCCACAAAAGCAAGATATCCCCCATAGATCTCCCTGTATTATCCTGTTTTTCTTTTCACGCCAAAAACTGGATTGCCAGTCAATACAGGAGAAACCACATGGAACCAAGAGAGCTGAACCCCACACACACAGTCTCCATTACGATAGTTACGCACAGATTACCACTCTGTGAAGGAGCCAATGCCGAAAGAGACGAAACCCAAGAGCCGAAAGAACCAAACCCAGCAAGATCAATAACCCAAAGAAACCGCACAAGAATCCCAAACGCCAAACCCCACGATGATGCCCCCAGTCCCATTATGATATCCCCCATTATTCCCCACTTTATAAAACCGTAAAGCCCCAGAAAGCCACCCGCGAGCCAAGCACCCCATGAGCCAAACCATAATCCCAAAAAGCCAGATCTAGATACCCCCTATAGATCTCCCTGTACCGCCAGGCGTTCCCCCCCACGGATGGGCAGGTGGAAGAAGATGGTACAGGCGAAACCACACGGGAACCAAGAGGGCCAGGATTCACATATAGTCCCCGTTGGTTATGCTGCGGAGGAGCCGATGCACAAAGCCAACAACACCCAAAAGCTAAAGCGGAGGGGCAGACCCAAACCCGAACCCGAACCGCAGGATAATTACATGTAGGGCCGTGAGATAAAGAGGGTGGGTGGGGAAGGTTGGGTTGGGTTGGGTTTTGTGATGGAGACGTGTGGGAAGACGGAGAAGTGTGGGAAGATGGAAGAGGGAGGGATGTTGTTGTGCGATGGAGAAGTGTGGGAAGGTGGATGAAAGATATGTGGGAGGAGCGAAGAGGGAAGAGGGATGTGGTTGTGAAAGGAACGGGAGGAACGAGCTTCCTTTATACCTGTCTACCCGCTAGAGGGTAACTTCAATGATTCCATTTCCCGCCCCGCCCCACCCCGCCCCGCCCCGCCCAGGCCCCAGCTCATTTTGTCCCCGATCCAGATTCTACGGCCTCATCTTTCGCCTTGGCTACAACTTAACCCCCCACCGCAGTATCGTGCTAGCTAAGTCCTATAATCAATCCAAAGTGCCACTCCGGCCCTCGTAGAACGCTGAGAGCACCCATATCGTTGCCTCTACAGGCCTACGGGCGTAAAAAGAACTGTAAATCTCCCAACCAGATACCGCGCTAGTACTCCATCCCGTGTCCCACCAGAAAGCAGAAAGGAGAAAGTAGAACCACTGCTGTCGAAGGGTCTTGACCGAGTGATAAACCATGACTAACCCACGAACATCCACGAAAGAGCCACGAGACGCGACTACCACCATGCTCCCACAATCCCACGATAATGGTCTCGAATCTCATGCTCATATAGATTACCGACCCGTCAACCGCAGCCTCGGCCTGAGTGGTCAGCACATGTACAACATTGTATCCAGCAAAGACTAGACCAAGGGGTAGAAGGGTGGGAACTGCGCTGGGGCTTATGAAGAACGTAAAACCCACGCCCAATAGGCTGAGATTCGGAAGAATCTTGGGACTCCATTAGCCCTAATGCGGACACCCTAGCTTATCCTAGGCATAGGGAGAAGAAGCTGCGAGCACCATGAAAGTACAGAGAACACCCTTAAATCCAAAGGGAGACTAACAGAGTATAGCTCCTCCAGACCCCTCATCCACAACCTTTATATATATCAACAGGAGCGATCCCAGAGATGTACGGCAAAGGGGAGGGAAACGGATGGGCTAGGAGCGGTGTTTGGCGCAGCGGTTGACAGGCTTCATGGGAAATCACTCGGAGGTCAAACACCAAAGATGACCGCTATCTGATATCTTGTCCTAGCTTTGCGATCCAAGGGAATGGGATATATGGGAATGGGTCTCTTGGTATTGGACTCATTATTTTAGCGCTCGTCGGCTCAGCGTCATTAGGGAGATGTTTCTTAAGGATTGTGACTTCGAACTGGCAATGTGATTATTGCTAGAGGTTTGAATCCAAGAGAGTGGAAACTACGATTGATATTCCGTCCGGGGTTGATCTTTCCTGCTCAATTAACTACTGCGAGAAAACCATCAACTCACACTCGGAACTGAAGCCTAGGCACATAGCTACGATTCCCAAACCCATATTTCCCCAGTTTAAAAAAAAATAAAGAAAAAAAAAAAAAAGAAACAAACGAAAAAGGGAATCTAAACTAAACCATTATTCATTACCGCCCCATGCCCATACCATCACCACAAAGCCCCACACCTCTACTACGATGCCTCAGCAGCCTCCGCCTCCTCATCCTGCCTCCGTATCTCGGCCTCAATCCTCGCCTTCTCCGCCGCCCTCATGCGCATCAACGTAATACTCTCATAATCCGTCCCCTGCACCCCCGCCGCCGCCGCCGCTCCTCCTCCACCCCCTCCCCCAAACGACGCAAACCTCGGCTTCGCCTTCGGCGGCTCAACCTTCTTCTCCGCCGCCGCCGCCGGCTCATGCGTCAGATCCGGCTCCTTCCCGCCCGCCCACGTGACATCCTTAAACACCGCCAGCTCCCCGCGGCTCCCGGAGGCGGCGGCCTCACAGACAGCGGCGTGCGCCGCAACAATAGACACAAACACGACGAGCGCCGTCCGGAACTTCTTCTCCTTCTCGCCCTCCTTCGGCGCCGTCACCGGCGGGACAACAACGTCCTGCACATCGCCAAAGCGGCCGAACAGCGCCTCGATGCGCCGCGCCGTCATCTCCTCGTCCTTACCCCCGCGCCGCTTCCACCTAACCTTCAGCGTCCTATCAAGCTCCGTAAACCGTGTCGGCTCCCCCACTCCCGCCGCCGCCGCCGCCGCCTCCTCCTCCTCCTCCTTCGCCGCAGCCCTCAGCGCCTCCTCGCGGCGCCGCCGCAGCTCCGCCCCCTCCTTCTGCAGCTTCCCCAGCATCTGCTCAAACGCCTCCTCGGCCTCCTCGACCTCCGTTCTCGCGCGCTTCGCGCCGCGCTCGCGGCTCTCCAGGTCCTCCTTCATGCGGCGGCGGTCGACGTCGAACGCCGCGGTGCGGCGCTTCCGCGCCTGGCGGGCGGTGCGCGCGGCGTCGTAGGCGGCGCGCGTACCGGGGTCGGAGAGGACGTCGTAGGCGATGGTGAGCAGGTGGAAGGTCTCTGCTGCGGAGGGGTCCGGGTTCTTGTCCGGGTGCCATTTGAGGGATTGTTTGCGGAAGGCTTTGCGGAGGGCGGAGGGGGAGGTCTCGGTGGTGGGGATGGAGAGGAGGTCGTAGAAGTCGGTGGTGGAGGTGGTGGCGTAGGTGGCGGCGTCGGCTTCGGTGGAGGGCATTGTGGGTGTGTGTGGTGGTGATAGTTGTGGGAGCGGGGTTGTAGAGTTGTGGGGGCGGTGACAGAGAGGGTGGAGAGGTGAGCGAAGATGAAGGGTGGAGAGGTGAGCGAAGATGAAGAGTGGAGATGGTGTTCAGTGAACGCTTGGTTACACGAGCAGCAGCACCGTCGATCACTGCAACGAGCGAACAAAAGGAGTAGAGCCATCAGAGAGGCGGATTAGTAATGCCGGCTCTCTGCTCGCGCCCAGGCGAAGGAAAGGCAGCCCCGCAGTCCCGCAGTCCCGCAGCCCCGCAGCCCCGCAGTCCCGCAGCTGGCTCGTTGGCGCCGCACAGCTGACTACAGCGCCAGGCATCTGCTCTGGCCAGAGCACCTCTGCAGCTGCGGCTCGACCCCAAAGCATCTGCAGCTCACTCACTACCTGTAGCTAGAGCTATCTGCACAAGCTCTTGCTCCCACAGCAACTCGTTACCAATTCCCCGTCCCAGGCTATAAACTCACCCGCCCAGCACCCGATCCTTGCAGTGCAGCGCCCTCAGCACCCGGCCAGCACCCCGCAACAACCTCGGCACCCCCCCGACGCAGCAGCTACAAAAGCGCCGTCAACACCCCACAATATCAGTATCAATATCAGTATCAATATCAATATCAAACACATCAATTGCACCACCATGTCACTAACCGTACCTCCCCCCCTCCCCTCCTCCCTCCTAGCCACACCACTAACACTCCCCCCCCCCCCCCCAAACCACAGCGCACGCTCCTCCGCACCCCGCACACAATAGCCTGCATCGGCCGCAACTACGCCGACCACATCAAAGAGCTCAACAACACCGCCCCCAGCACCCCCTTCTTCTTCCTCAAGCCGCCCGGCACGCTGCTGCACCCCAACGCCGGGCCCGTGCTCTGCCCGCGCGGCGTCGACCTGCACTACGAGGTTGAGCTCGCCGCCGTCATGGGGCGCGAGGCCGACGACCTCACGGCCGAGAATGCCCTCGATGCCGTCAAGGGGTGGTGTGTGGGGATTGACATGACGGCGCGGAACTGTATACCCCCTCTTTCTCTCTCTCTCTCTCTCTCTCTCTCTCTCTCTCTGTGTGTGTATAGGGTGGTGCGGTATGCTGACATGTGGATGGGGAGTATGAGCAGACCAAGAAACCGCCAAATCCAAAGGCCTCCCCTGGACGCTCTGCAAAGGCTTCAAGACCTTCCTCCCCGTGTCGGGCTTCATCCCGAGGGCGCTGATCCCCGACGCGCAGGACGCGGAGCTGTACTTGAGCGTGAACGGGGAGGTGCGGCAGCAGGACAGCACGGCGCTGATGCTGTTTGCGGTGCCGCGCCTGCTGCAGCATGTCACGGCCGTGACGACGCTGTATGAGGATGACCTTGTGCTGACGGGGACGCCGAAGGGTGTTGGAAAGGTGGTGGCGGGCGATGTGATGAGGGCGGGAATCAGGGTGGGCGGCAGGGAGATTGAGGAGGGGAGGATAGAGGTTCGGGTGGAGGATCGGGTGGGGGGGTATGGGGCGTAGATGGGGAGGTACTGGGAGGTACGTAGTTGGGTAGGTAAATGTAAATGGTTAGAAGCTGTGAGGTTTTTTTATTTTTCGAGAGGTTCTAGATGACTACTACTGTGGAGAGGAAAGAGGGAGATAAAAAGTAACATGTAGACCCATCATTATCCTGTTGAAGAAGAAACAACCCTTTTTGCGAATGAGAAAATAGCAAGAAAGAAGAAAAAGAGACAATCGTAAACAAACAAGAAAGAAAGAAAGAAAGAAAAAAAAGAAAGAAAAAAAGAGAGGCGCTACAGCTCAGCCGCCCTGAGGTCCCATAAAGATAAAACTACATTGGCCCTCGTAGGCCCCCATTAACATTCCATCCAATCCCAATCCCAAACGCCCGCATCCGCATCCGCATCATCCACACCCACACCCACACGAACCAGCCCCTCCTCCTATGGCGAGACCGCACGGTGGTGCTGCTGCTGCTGCTGCTGCTCATGCTCCACCACATCGTTCTCCACCTCCATCAGCATCCGCTCCCACGTCTCAATCATGCCCTTATAAAAGTCCACATTCGCCGCCGCCAGCCCTCCCAGCGTATCCTTCATTTCGTTGCTCTTGATCCTCTCAAAGTTGGCCACCTCCTTGACCACTTCCTCGTCAAACATCTCCGTCACGTTCCGCGCGTTCTCGCTCTCCCGCGTCAGCTCCTCAATCTTCATCTCGAGCTTCCGTATCCGGTCGCGCCGGCTCTGTTCGTGGTCCACGCCGCGGACATCTTCGATCTTGGACCGCAGGAATCCTGTTGGCCCGCTTAGCCCCGTGGTTCCCGAGGGCGCAGAGGCAATCTGGTCTCGCTCCCCGGCGGCGCGGGTGAGGTAGTCTGTCAGCGCTTCGTAGTCGAGCTGCTTCTGCTCCCGGGTCTTGAGAAGAGACTTTAGAGCAACGATGTAGCTTTCCATGTCCCTAAGTGAGCCGAGGTAGTCCTGATCCGTGTGTTCCTTCAACGTCTTCAATCCCGTACTTGTCGCTTGCACCGCATCTGCAAATACCGCGATGGGCCCCGCCAGCTCCGGCTCGAGGTCCACCAGCTTCAAGAACTCCTTCGATAGGTCCGCGTAGTCTGATTCCAAATCGGCCTCGCGGCGGACCACACGGGTAATGATCTTTTCGACATGGCCGAGGTCCTCATCTAGCTTGTCTGCGCGCTCTCTTACCTCAATGAAGCGCCGGTCGGGCTTATGCACCTTGCTGAAAGCATTCAAGAATGTGTCTGTCAACCCCTCAAACACACCAACTTGATCATTAGCACTGGCCGGAGCACCCTTCGCGGGCCTCTTCCGCATGTGAGCATTCCAATCCGGCGTCTCTAGAAAGATAAACAGCAGCGGCGTTCTGCGGAGCTCGGGGTGCTGCGTGAGGCGCTTCAGGAAGCGGTGCAGCGAGTGTGCTCTGCGCGAGGTAAAGTCAGGGCCAAATCGGTCCCCTCGGACGTACTCTGGGAGATAGTCAGTGGGCGCGGCGCGAGGAGCGGTGGCTTGGAAGGTCTTGGAGATGAGCGCACCCATTTTGTGTTTGTCCGGCAGCGGCGGGACGGCGCATTGCGGAAACTCCCGCGAGAGCGCCTTGTACAGGAAGACAAAGTCCGTGAAACGCCGGCGGACAGTAATGTGGTGGCGTTGGAAGGTCTTGAAGTCGGTCTGGTGGGAGGGGGGGCAAGGTTGGGGGTGTTAGCTATAGCTCTCCTGTATGGGGTGGGATAGCTTGGAGCTTGGTGTGTTTCTCACGTCGGTCGTGACAAGATAGGAAACAAATGCATCCTTGGTCCCGTCGTGCACTGTCTGTGGGTCCCCAACAGTTGTGATGAGTTTTTCGTCGCCTACGCCAGCTAGATCTACGGCATCAGCGTTGGGTCCGGCCTGTGGTGCCATGTCGTCGTCGTCGTCGTCATCGTGTAGTGTATGTTGGGCATAGTCTTCGGAGTGAGACGTAGCGGGCCGTGAGTTGTCTGTGTCATCATCGGTGCCGCTCCTCCATTGCACGTCGTCGAAAGCATCCATATCTCTGTAGCGTGTATATGTCTGTGTGTGATGGCAGAATCTGAATATATGGTGTTGATGTTGAGTAAATGGGAATAGGAGATGGAGGGGAGATGGCGGGGGGGGGGGGGAGAGAGGTAGGTACGTGCAGGGGGTGTGGCAGGGAAGGTGATAGGTACGACGGTTTCAGAACCGCCAGTTTACGTCGTTGGCCTTGGCGGTGAGACACGGGGCATCACTCGCTGCCAGCTGAACACGGAGAGGCGTTCCTGTCAGCCACCGGGGCTGCTTGTAGATCTTCTGTCTGCTTATATTTCCTTTTTTTTTTTTTTTACTTTTCACGGGGTGGCAAACTGGCAGTTATGGGTGGATCCAACTTTTGGGCTAGCTAATACTCAACCGTCTGCGACGGATGGTTGAGAGAAGGGCCAGGAAGACCCAGATATGAAGAGTATAATCTGTTATATGGAATCTTCGTCGAGGCTAATGGAAAGAATTCTTGCTGTTTGATACTAGTCAACACCTTGTGGTCACTGGCAATCATGATATATCACTCGCCTGGACCGTAGGCCTGGAATGCAGACTCTTTTCAATAACAGAAGCACTGCAGCACGCACAGAGAGCTACAGTCACAATGTATGCAGTTTTGGCTTAGTGATATCGATGGCAAATCGGGGTCTATATTCCTTCGTCGCTATTTGCCAAACTATCGATATATAGATAGTGCACAGGTCAAACCCACTGAGAAGATTTTAAGAATCGGTACATCAACAGATCTAGAGCCATCGGCTGCCCGCCTGTGCCTTTGCGCGCCTCACTGGCCATAGCCTTAATTACTGTCACTAGTGGAGATAGACACGAGGCTACCAATTACCCTCTCTGATGCGTCAGCTAGACCAGCTTGCCCATCAGCGAGCGCGAGCGTTGCCCGCTATTTCGCCCGCTGCAACGGTTGCTACCCACCAAATTTTGGGTGGACGCTCGCTGATGGGCAAGCTGGTCTATCAAGGAAAAAGCTCTCCGTCAAGCCTGACTTGAGGTGTTACCCGCTCACCTTACCACCCTTCCACACTAACTTAACTTTAGGTACATGTACCTCTCCTCTTCCCACACACATCCCCCTCCACTGAGTATATGATGAGATACCCCCCCCGCATATGACGAAACAAAATCCCCCGCCCTCGTCAAGTACCAAGAGCGGCCTAGCCATGCAGCATCTTCTCTGCTTGGTGTATGCCCCTCTATGAGAGTGCCCCCTTCGCTCTATCAGTTTCTGGGTTGGTGTTGATTCTGTAGGAATTGGTTCTATGGGCATTAGTATGTATACCCTTGAGTCGTTTTGGGGATCGTTATCAGCTCTCATGTTAAACTGAATTATGGCCAAGAAACAAAGGGGCCTGTATTAGAGGGTCTTTGCTTGCGAGTTTTGACTTTGGCTTTCGACCAGTTCCTCCAACCCCTTTACCTTTAGACTGCTGGCTTTTGCTTTTTGCTCGTCTTCATTTTATTTTTGTCTGCGCTCAGAGTCCTAACCACTTCTCTTCCGGGCCAGATAAACTGACGGACATAAAGTCTGTTGTCTTTGGCACGCTGGGGATTGTTAACCTCCATGCTAAATTAGAATATGACTAGGGAGCAGAGAGCTTTGATCGTGGTATTTTGGCCTGCAAGTCTAGTTTATGGTTTCTATCAGGGAGACCAGTCTCTTCTGGTTATTTGGTTATTTGACTGCTGACTTTTAGGAACGAGTTCCGGCCCAATTGTTCGTCTTTGGTTCTACCTTTTGTCCAAACTATCTGTGGTTCCCCGTTGGACTTTGGAACATCAGCTCAATGTCTTTAGCACATATACTAATTGACAATATAAGACACGGTGGGGTGAGATTGGAAGAAGACATAGCTAGTCCACTCTCCATCTGTTTTTCATGAGGTTTAGAAGTGCCTTCACTCCATCCATCCTAAATAGGGCCATCTTGGAACGTTGTACTCAGTTTTCTTTTGGGACTTGGGGCCAACTGCAATTCAGCTTGACGCTCAAGTTCGCGAGCAAGACTTCGGACTCCTTGTTGCAGAGTTGATAACTTCATCCTTGTCCGTCTACTTGGGCTTACATCTTGACGGGACCATTTATCACCTACTACTGGCCGCTGGGTTGCAAACATGTGCAGAGGATGATATCTCTATGCTGGGGAAAGTATAGATACTTTATCACCGTGGTATTCTATATCTAGGACGCTGGTTGAAACCTCTCTGGCTACGCTCGTAGCGTATTTGATATAAAGTCAAAACAGTTCTTCAAGCTTCCGCCTAATATTATGAATGTGGCTGTGCACACTTTTTTCTATCTATTAACAACAGGGTTACGGCGCCGCTCTCTAACAGATTATGCTTCTTGGGGCCGCAATATATTAATTAATAAGTTGGCGTTGGTAGTGCCAATTACCAGACCGCTTTTTTTGGTTTCCTCCGGCTCGGGAGAACCCTAGCCCCATACAAGTATTATAATACTACACCTAGGTATCATTCCCCTCTCTTCCTCTCCCCCGGGCCCCGGCCGAGGATCGGGCTGACTATCTCATTGGGCAGTAACTCTCGGCTTTTCCACTATTGGCCAACTGGTCCTGCAGGTGTACCCTTAAAGCCAAGCACACCCTGTACCTACGGCGATAAACAGCCCTTTGAATCTTCACACTCGGAGGTTATGCTCGATCGTAATCTTGGATCAATTCCAATGAGGAGAGGGGAACGAATGATCGCATCGGGGTAAATCGGAACAGACGGCCATATAGAAGTCGCCGGTAACGATAAATTGCAGCTGTCAGAACAAGCCCTAACCCAATCCCTTGACCTGTCATTCGTTATGAAACCTCCGTAAACGCAACGATAACGGATAGTTACTAGGCTTGTTGCCAATCCACCTACTATGTACCACACTTGGAACGAGCCTCAGCAACCACCCCCCACAAAGAAAACCCCACTTTATCCCACATCTTCGATCCTATCCAGTAGATCACCGAGGATATCAACTGCACACCCCGTCCTAGTTGCAGCCCGAATCGCCGCATTTGGCTGATGTAAGCCCGATCCGATCGGTCGGGTCAAGATGATTGGGATTACCCTATATCATTGGCACCAGTGAAATTTCCCCGCACCCCACATCATTTCTTGTCTATTGATGTGGTTAGTTCATCGTGTACCTACTCAGACCTGGAGCTACAGTTGCATCTTCAACATTTCTCCAGATCAGGGGCAACTGGGATGGATATGAATGGCAGTGCACTAAGAAAAGGCCTTCTTAATAAACGAGCAATGATACATATGGAATGCAGAGAAGGATAACTGTAACATAGAACGTAGATATCATTACTTTTCCCCCACCTTCCTCAAAACACCACTTCTCAAATTCTACAAAACAAAGGAGAAGGAAAAAGGAAATCCAGAAAGAAAGAAAAAAAAAGGAACGAGAATTGGTCTATTCCCGCTCCTCACAACCCCCATTACCCGCGTAAGCTCGAGAATTGCAGCTGTCCAGCCATATTGTTTTTGAATTTTGGAAAAAACAGAATGCATCCCCCAAACCCCAGAGTAAAAACCAAACACACATACAATCGTATAGAATATCAAAGTATCCATGGACTAGAAATGAAGAAATAAGAGATAAAACACCACCACCCGTAGGTTTTCTATATTTGCTTTGGGTAAGCCAGAATTCCTACGTTGTAACTTTTATTGTTTTAAAACGGTTTTTTGATGTACTTAATGGCATTTAAATGAGGTCGGCAACATTCCTAAAACCCAATTAGCATGAAGATTATGGCGATGATAGATTAAGCAGGATACAAACATTGGCATCTCCTCGATCTGGGTCGAGTAGAACTGTTCGATCTCACGCATCATGCGGACATCATCCTATAAAGGTCAGCTACCTAATATTCAGGTATATCAAGCGGATTGACTTACAGCAGTGACGAAGTTAATAGCAACACCCTTTCGTCCGAAACGACCACCACGACCGATGCGGTGGATGTAGTTCTCGCGGTTAGCGGGAAGGTCATAGTTGATGACCAAGGAGACCTGCTGGACATCGATACCACGAGCCAACAAATCAGTGGCGATCAAGACACGAGAAGACCCTGAACGGAACTCCTTCATAATCAAGTCACGCTGAGTCTGGTCCATATCTCCGTGCATAGCGGAAACGGTGAAATCACGCTGAGTGAGCTTCTCGGTAAGCCAATCAACCTTTCTGCGGGTGTTGCAGAAAATGACTGCCTGGGTAATTGTAACAGTCTCGTACAAATCGGAGAGAGTGTCGAGCTTCCAGTCTTCTTTCTCAACAGCAATGTAGAATTGCTTGATACCTTCAAGGGTCAATTCGGCCTTCTTGACCAAAATGCGGACGGGGTCGCGCATGAACTTGGTGGTGACCTCCAACACATCCTGGGGCATGGTGGCTGAAAGAAGGACGACTTGGGTCGACTGTGGGAGAAGCTGGAAGATGTCGTAAATTTGTTCGGTGAATCCACGCTAGAGAGAGAGAAATGTTAGTAGTGCTTAAGGAAGAGTCCAGTCAGTAGTTTACATACAGACAACATCTCATCGGCCTCATCAAGGACGAAAAGCTTAATCGCATCGGTCTTCAAGGCGCGGCGCTGAATCATGTCGTTAACACGACCGGGGGTTCCAACAACGACGTGAACACCGTCCTGGAGGATCTTCATGTCGTCACGAACGACAGTTCCTCCGATACAAGCATGGCACTCAACGTTCATGAAGTCACCGATAGCAACGACGACCTTTTGAATCTGCTGAGCGAGCTCACGAGTAGGGGCCAAAATCAATGCCTGGCATTGCTTGAGGTTGAGATCAATCTTCTGGAGGACGGAAATAGAGAAAGTGGCAGTCTTTCCGGTTCCTGACTGAGCCTGGGCGATGACATCGCGGTCTGGTACAAGAGTGATTTAGTGAGGGGGGTCCGCGGATATTTTTTACACAACATGCAGCCGCAGTGGTTGTCATGCAGAGTGGGGGGACGGTGGGGCAAAAGAGGGGTAGTACTCACTGTTGATCACGGGGAGAATCGCACGCTGCTGAATAGCAGAGGGACGCTCAAAACTATTTAATGGTGAGTATAATTGAAATTAAAAAATAGTCCATTTGAGTCTTCTTACCCGTAGGCGTAAATTCCTATATCAGAAATGTTAGCTTGTGAAATTTTGTCTTGGCAGCGCATAGTAGCGCTACTGGAACATCAAAGAAATGTTTCAAAACTAACCTCTCAAAAGTTCAGGCTTGAGGTCCATGCTGTCAAAGTTGTCGACGGTTTCATCATAGTTGGACTCGATTTGTCCCTAAGGAGTAGAAAATCATGTAAGTTTAAGTGCCTATATAACCCCGCCAAAGAGAGCCCCGCAACCCTGTGAGGCAAAGGCCCGAGGGAGGGGAGAGAGCGTGATATGGGCAGCCAGAGCCAACAGGACGGGGAGGAAATGTTTAAGGGAGGGGAAACTTTGGGCTTACCTCGACGTCTTTCAAACCTTCGGTGGCCATGTTGGGTGGGTAGTGAAGTTTTTGTTTTAATGCTGAAGAAAACGGATTAGTCAAGTCTTCCCCTAGAAAATCCTAGCCAGTAAACCAGAAATCCATACTTTTTAAAGTAAATAGCTATCAAATGAGTCTCTGCTAATAGGAGAGACTGGAGTGTGGTGGATGATGGTTGTAAGGTTGGTGAGATGAGAGGAGAAATGGAGAGGAGGAGGGGACGGCAACAGTTCAAATAAAGCAAAGCAAAAAAAAAAAAAAAAAAACGAGGGGTGCCCACAAGTGCAGACTGTTTTTTTTTTTCCCCAAGCGATGTAACCCGCCACATCCCCCCACTAACTAATTCAGCCACTTTTGTCTAGAATAGAATAGATCTACCAATTCTAAGCGTTATCAGCATATCAATACTATGGTAAGAATTCCATTAAGGGCGTAATGCTGAGCATGAACACAAACTGGCAGGCATAAGCCACAGTCACACTAGCAAACCTAGGAGGTAAAATCAAAACCTTACATCACAACTTATAAATTTGGAAAAAAGATATCAAGTGGACAGTGATGGCTCCTTCAACAACTCTTACAGATCCTATACCCTCTCCACCATCAAAACGTCAGAAAATATTTTCAGTGACAGGTGTGAATACAGAAGCCGATATTCTTTCAACTTCCGATGAAAAAGACTTTGAGGATACAGCGACTATTTCTCCCCATCCTCTTCGAATAAAGCCCAGCGGAAATGCCTACACCTCGGAATCGAATCTCCGTGATACCTCAACGGGATTATTTGCAATCATTCCCGACGAATTGATTATCGATATATTAGGATATCTAGACGCCGAAAGCCTTACTCAACTGGGATTTACGAGTAGGGGTTTTTATGCCTTTAGTCGTCATGAAGAGCTATGGAAAGCGCTATTTATAGAGTATGCATAATCCTCACATTTAGAGCCAGGCCTTCGCAACATCGACTATGTACCGCCGATATTTTTGCCTGTAGTATTTGCTAACCATATATCTCTCAGATCACCTATGTCTAAGCTTCCATTCACCTGGCGTGGAACTTGGCGTCGAACCCATCTATCATTACCTTTCAGTAAAGAGGTTCTGATACCAACTCCAGACCTATTTTCTGATCCCCTTCATAGACCTTTTCATATGTCTCAAATTCCGCTTAAGCCTTATGCTTCTAAGATCCCTTCACAAAATGCTATCCTTTGTCTCCCCGACATGACTGCAGAGGATTTTAACGAAAAATACTCCACTACACCATTCATACTTACCCGTCCAGTCAAGGACTGGGCAGGATACAAGGAGTGGACTATTGCATCTTTAGTGGACAGGTACCGTGACGTCCGCTTTCGTGCCGAAAGTGTAGATTGGCGACTCAGTGATTACTACGATTATATGAGAGACCAAACGGACGAAAGCCCGCTGTATCTTTTTGATCGGGCATTTGTAGAGAAGACAGATGGAGAGCTAGGACGTGGTTTCACAGTGCCTGAATGCTTTGGAAAAGATTATTTCGAGGTTCTTGGAGATGAGAGGCCTGATAGACGGTGGATGATCCTGGGACCTGAGCGAAGCGGCAGTACATTTCATAAAGTAAGGAATCATGAGTCTTGTGTTTTAGGAGAGGTAATTAGTTCTAATAACCGGCCGTAGGACCCAAATGCGACCTCGGCCTGGAATGCCGTTATTGAGGGAGAGAAGTACTGGATAATGTTCCCACCAGGGTCTCCTCCACCCGGAGTCTATGAATCTGAAGACCATAGCGAAGTTACATCGCCCTTGAGTATCGCAGAGTGGCTTGTAGGCTTTCACCGAGAGGCAAGGAGAACAAAAGGGTGTCGAGAAGGTATTTGTAAAGCTGGCGAGATACTATACGTCCCATCAGGTAATTTCTGTCATTTGAATAATCATCGCTGCCTCTAATAACCTCCATATAGGATGGTGGCATCTTGTGGTTAACCTTTCACCATCGCTTGCATTGACCCAGAACTTCATACCTCCAACCCAGCTTTCGGCCGCGATAGAGTTTCTACGGGATCAACCGGGGTCAGTATCTGGGTTCAGTACGAAAAGAGTGAGGGATCCATATGGATTATTCATAAAAAGGATGGAGGAGCAATATCCAGTGGAGCTCCAGGCGGCTTTGGAAAAGCTGGAGAAGAAGAAAAAGACAAAGTGGGACACGCTTACTAATACAAATGGGCAAGGCTTTAGCTTTGGTTTTGGCTGTGAGGATAGTGATGATGAAGAATGAAATGAATAAATTGGGAAACCCCCAGATGCCAACGGTTTTTATGCTGGAGAATCATAAAACTTTAAAACACATGTACAACACTTACGAACAGGACATTGAGTAAAGCCGTCGATTGTGTTACATCAATGTTTTTATATTTTGTGAGAAAAGCAATGTATCAATTAGAAAAAAAAGCCAGGAATATGGTACACAGAATTATACACATTGAACAAAAAGAAATGATTTTAATCATCGATACCGCCCCATTCTTCATCTTCCATTTCTTCATCCTCATCTTCGCCTTCGGGCTCCGTTTGAGCAACCTTTTTCTTAATCTCGCCCTCCGGAGCCTTTTCAAATCCCCAGTTGGCCAATCTCCCGTCAAGCAATAATTCCTTTGCTTTTACCCTAACCATTTTAGTCGGTGACTTTACGCTCAGTATTTGAAACGGCTCGACTAGCTGTTCAACAGGCAATTGATCCTTCATGTGTTCTGGACTCAGTTTCTCTAGCTCATCCACAAAAATATCCGTCAAATGAAACCGAAGGCCGTTGGGTACTTTGTTGTCAGTAGGACTATTGAGATGCCTGTCAGTTCACCCCACTTTCCCATTCGTATCCAGAGACTCCATGAAAACTTACTTTAGAGGTACCTCCTTCATAACCTTCACAACACTCTCAACGAGACCAGCATCCCAATTCCTTCCACGCAGGTATCTGAAGCTACTCGCCAAGTACATTCTGACGAGCAGCAAGAATTTGTCCATCCTCAACACATCAATTCCGTTCCATTCACGAACCATGGTAATCCAAAATGCTTCAAGAAACAACACAAAATTCTTCTCCTCCATGGGTGTTAAAAGCTCTGCTAGGTCGGCAGCGAGTCGCTGCTGAGTCCGTGGGCGATCCGACAGCCACATGCCTATTAAGCTACCCTTCAGTATCCCAGACAGAGAAAGACCACTCGCTTGCGCAACCTACAGTAAAAAAGTCCTTTCCATAGCTTCAAAAGCTCTATCTGAGTGAAATTGCGTTGTGAGGAAAGGTAGCTGCGCAGCGACGCTACAGCTTTATCGCGGGTTGGTCGGTCTATTTAAAAGTGTCAGAGATTATAATATTATTCGAAACATTTAGTAGAACGACCTTACCATTCGCCGCTAATTGCTTCACAAATGGTGCTTGCTGAAGTTTTGAGTCGGCCATTTGTGAGATTTCGCGATAGTGGGGCGCTGAAGAAAAAAAAGTTAGGTTTCAGAAAATTGTTAGTGCAACAATGAGCCTCATTCATTGCGGCCGGGTAATTATACAACAATTATCAGGTCTAGCTCTCACGTCACTCGTGAATTCCACATTTCGCTGCTATTTGTATTCACGTTTTAATTCTTCTCAACGAACTGATAAAAGTGAAGGATGATTAAACGTAATTATGATAGCAGTAGTAGACATAAGAAGCTGCAAGAATCTAAGGTATATATCTCCGTCTCGGACTACATATATTCAACTTATCATGATTACATGTAAGTAGCCATCTCCCCAGACCTACCTACATGATGCACTATTGCCGACTCTCGCAAATAGGCTAGATTGAGTTGGGGGCGTGAGAAAATAAAAATGATGTTTTGCTGCAAGTCCAAACTACATAATCTCATTTCAATCCTCTAAATTATAAAGTATAGTGTAATTGAGTGACATCAACAATATTGACAAAAATACGCTCCAGTGTGAATTGCGGTTGTAATGGACCAATCAAAACATTTGTTTACATTGTGCCGGGTGGTTTGGATTATATTATCCATAACATAATACAATAATTTGAATTATCTCTTTATTTTATTCTAACCCTTTAGAAAACGTAGTTACATGTATGCTTACTTTAGACCATTGCTGTAGAAAAAAAAACATACATGTATTGTAATGCGAATTTCGTAGCAAATCTCTTCTGGTGGATCAGATCTTTGTTTAGAGCAAAACCTATGGCTCTCGAGATCTCTCCACAGTTAATAAAATGGACTTAATTTTCCGCATCAAAATATCTATAGATATAGAAGGAAATCTCTTCCGCGAAATATATTCTCCATTGCTGTTAATAACATCGAGTGATAGTATATGAAGAGAGAGGTACCTATGTATCATTAAAAGCGCATTAACACGTGTGTATCCAGGCCTACAGCTACCTTCTCATAAAGTCAAAAGTAACAAACCAACGAGGGATATAACTTTGCCCAACCAATTCAATAAGAATATACATTCTGAGCTCGTGTGGACCACGGAAAAGGAATCGTCAATAAAATTCGATCCATAATTCGCCTTCTAGCGCCTCAATAAAACAACGTTAACCATATTCCAACTTCGCACATAAATAGCTTATCTGCCTCCAGAAGCCTGCTTCATGATTAACGACTTCAACCCAGTCATTGCATCAACCGCACTCAGCCCAAAAGACCTCAACGCCACGATTGGAGCAGATGTTGTTCCATACAGCTTATGGAGCTTGTCAACGACACCCAACATAAGGTGATTCTTGAAGTATTGTTCGGAGTAGTATGGCTCAAGAGAAAGAACGGAACCTTGGATGCATTGTCAAAAAATGTCAGGCGTAAAGGGTTAAAAATCAATGATAAGGTTTACCTATATCCTGCCCGTTCTGCACAGCTGTTTCAACAGTCTTGATTAAAGATTGAACATCGCCGATTCCTTGGTTCAGTCCTTGGCCAGCAAGTGGATGAACTGTGTGCGCAGCATCCCCAATCAATGCAACCCGCTCCCCAATATACGTATCGGCATGCCTCAATTTTAGCGGAAACGAGGCAACTGATTTGTCTTGTATGCCCACGACCCTTCCAGGCACACGGGTATAATCGAATTGAGTCACTGATTCTCTCCACTGCACTTCTCCCGCGATTCCAGAATCAAGATCTTTGATGAAGTCGATATCTACATGGCTCAGCCTAAACGCAGCATTAACCATAGCAGCCATATCTGCAGGTGCCAAGGTCTTGAGCTTTGCCGCGTTCTGGGGGGTTGTGGACCACACGAGGGTTGCAAAATCACCAGGAAGCTACAGTTTATCAGCGTTGCAAAGATGAGTGAAATTCAGAGGAGGCTTACAGGTAGCAGTGCCACTGGTCCCGACGGCAAGAATCTCTGATATGCCGTTTTTTCCATTCCCAAGGAGCTCCCCTCAGCCAACTTCACAGTGGCAACCACACCATGGCGATCATAGTCCCATCCGCGACTCTCAATCCCAGCGAACGTTCTGACGGGCGAATTGGCACCATCCGCACCGACCAACAATCTCGCCGTTAGCTTCCTCCCGCCTGTAATCTCTACTGTTGGCCATGTCCGAAGATCAAGCTCTCCGTTATCTTCTCCGAAAGATATATTTTCAACGCGGGTCTTGTCTATCACTTCTACCCCACCCAGCTCGGACAAGCGCGAGAGTAAACCGTGAACGAGATTGGTATTCTCAGTCATGTATGCGATTGTTTCACTGGCGGATGGATTCCAATTAAATTGAATACGAGAGCCCGAAATGCCATCCCAAACCTGCACAACGACATTAATGATCCGGCCTTTAAAAATTTAGAATAAGCTTCGTACCTGCATGCCATGATAGGCCTGGACACGGTCACGGTCCACATGCTTCCATGCTCCAATATCCGTCAAAAACCCAACCGACCCTGGTGTCAGTGAGCTGACTCTGTTCGAAAATGTTTGAGGCTCAGGCTTCCAATTTCTCCCGGGAGCCAAATCGAAACCCTCAACAAGTGCAACCCGAAGGCCGTTTGTTACACTTGATGAACCTACAACACGAATCAGAGAGAGATAATTTTATCCCTGTGAACTAGGGTTGAACATACGCAGAGAGCTCGCCAACGACAGTCCTGCCGGCCCACCACCAACAACTACAACGTCGTACAGATCTGCTTTAGTTGCAGTAGCATAGCTTCTCCTCGCGTGGCTTACTCGAGGCCTCATGGCACCATGATTTGTTCGCAGGGCAGATATCACTGCAGAATATTGTCGTAGGGACCTTATAGAATTCATCTTGTTGTGTAAACTTGCGGTAAAGAGATTGGGACGGAGTGTGGGGTTAGCGAATGCGACGGTGCACGGACCATGTCCTCTATAGAGTAACATGGGGCTCAAGAGCACTCATTACTGGCAGATATCCTCTTCTTTCTTGTAAGCGCAGGAGGACCATATGATTCAGCAGATATGTACGTGCTTCAACAAAACGTGCATAATTATACAAATTCTAGTGCAAAGACTTTAGTGTAAAAATAATAAAGAAATACATCACTTTAGGTGAAATTTAGAACGGAAAGACTTTAAGGAAATGTCTCATGGCCAGCCACTATGAAATGTAGGATTCAACTTATCAATCATTTATCCGCCACATGATGATTACATCTACTTTGACATTTTACGCCTAGCTTGCATACTACATGTAGTAGTACTTAAACCCAACGTAACCCTCAAGGAGTAGAATACCTCAATAATCTTTCATATTTTCCTTTGGGATTCCAGAAGAGGCGAAGGACTAGGTGTTTTACTGTTCGTGATCCTGTACTCACCTAGTAATAGTTCAACTAATACGCGATACAAGAATACATGCATACTTAACAATAAAACCTTTGAAGGCTCCACCACAAAAAATGGAGAATTAGGTACCAAAGCATATATAGTTCTTTTCCTGGATCCTAAACTTTCGAACATCTTTACAAAGGCAAATGCGGAGAAACGAGATACAGAATCAATTCAAGGAAGAGGTGCATCAAAAATCAAAATGGTATATCCGAACCGACTCCTGCCAAACATTACTTCCTTGAACCTGGTTTCTTCTCACTCAAAGTCCTCTCCGTGAGTTGCTTCTCCTCTTCGGCCTTCATCTCCCTAACCTTCGCCAACACTACCTCCCTGAAAATAGCAGATCTTGCCGCTCTTGAGAGTCTGCCGGTACCCTTTCCAGTAGTAGTAGAACTAGAGGGCTTAGAATCGCTGGGCTTTGTGACCCCCTCTTTGGCAGCTTCCTTTGCATCAGCCGGTACATCGCCCTCGTCGGGATCATCATCGCGCATCCTGAGGGCTTCGATACGGTTGGTGAGTTTGACCATTTCAATACCGCGGCGGAGACGGGCCTTGGCGATGTAGGACTTAATCTCTGGTAAGATATCATAGTCGGTGGCAGTTTCGCCCTTGAGCCAGCTGTGCTTGAGTGCTTCCTATATCGTAGACGAATTTATTAGTCGTCGTCCACAATTCCAAAATAATGTTAGATAAAGGGCAGTATTACCGAGCTAGTGGGGCGGTCTTCTGGCTTAGGTTGCAAGAGATCTCCGATAAAGACCTTTGCATCTCTACTAACTTCCTTCCAGTAGCGCTCATGGAAGATAACTCTCCCATTACTACATTCGTCGATCAAGTCTGCAAGACTCTCACTACGGAATGGCGAGTACCCGCAAAGTAAGGTGTAGGTGATAACACCCAAGGACCACATATCGACAGCTTTTCCATGCCCCTTCTTTAACATAACCTCTGGAGCTGCGTAACCGAAGGAGCCGGCCATGGTGGTGAGCATTTCGTTGCTTGAGTCAAGCATCTTGGCGATACCGAAATCGGCAAGCACGAGGGAGGAATTCGCATCAGGGGTAAGGTACAACAAGTTCTCAGGTTTCAAGTCTATGGGATCGATTGTGTCAGCTTTTTATTCGTTCCCTCATAAGTCTTTATAGATTGATAAATGTTTACCCCTGTGGACTATGTTGACGCTGTGCAAGTAGTCAACAGCTTGTAGAACCTCGCGAATAGTCTGCGATGCATCCTTCTCGGTGAATTTTCCGTATTCGCAAATACGATCGAAAAGTTCGCCGCCGGTAGCTAACTGAGTAACGATGTAGTACTTGTCCTGTCAAACGGATGAATCAGTATCACCGAACTACGAAAGATCACAGCCCTGGTGGAGCAAAAGAAATCGCAAGTCTTTACCCTTGACTCAAACCAATCGCGAAACTGAACAATATGCGGATGGTGAAGCCTCTGTAGTAGCTTTAATTCGTCATACACCATCTGCTCGTTACCCTTGACATTTTTCTTCAAAATGATCTTTACGGCGACTTTCCCTTCGGGGCCATCGGCTTCGCGAACGATTCCGTAGGTACCTGCACCCTGTAATATACGTGCAAAGCTCGGTCAATCTTTTTTTTCGGTTTCTATAATCACAAAAATTTCAGGGGAAGGAAGGAGCGGGAGACTAACCAAAGTGCGGCCCATTTTGTACTGGACCCTGAATGGTTCATCGTTATCGTCAGTGAGTTGGCTTCTTCTAAAGCTACCGAAGCTAATTCCAAAAAACATTGCGCGAGGAATAGCTGATTTTATCAAGCTGAGTATCTCTCACTTCTTATCATAGGTAGGCGGCTGCCCGTGTAGCTTGTTAAGGACCGAGGAAACTAATAGAACACGATAAGGAGTAAGTAACTGTAAAAGCACCTTGCGATACTGAACACGCGATATTATGTTGATAGGCGAGATAATAAAACACAAATGATAGAAAGGCTTGGGTAGAAGGATGTAACGGGAATGAACAGAAAAGGAGAGACAAATCAAACGGAAGCTTACAGCTCATGTTCTCGATTAACCACTTGTGAACCAACAGATGTCTCTAATTATTGGATTATCTGGATGAGTATGCGAGCGAGTGGAAGCGGGTGATGTATTTATTTGACTGTCTCGAGAATGGAGATAGGAAGGTAGAGGGCTGATCGGGGGATTCCAGGGGAGAAATAGGCTTTGACGTTCTAAGGGTTCGTGAGCTGAATGCAGCTGCGGGGGCGGGGCAACCCCTTCGCAGATTAGGAACGCTCACCTCAAGGTTAGGGTTATTACAAGGCTACATGTACGCACAGAGAAACCGCGCCTACAACAACTCAAGAGTAACAAATACTACTCATTGCCAGGATTGAACGCATTCGTGGAATCCTCATAGAATGGAGGCACCTGCAGTCGATACATCTCACATTCAAGTCCACATTCATGTACTCTATCGTATGTTCCCTAGCTTATGTAGGCTCGTGCCCAGCCCTCCCACACTGCCCGGGCATTGTAACCGGAAAAGCTGCACAGAGGAAACTCCATCAGCCCTGTTGCACCATTGAACGTTACTATACTAGCGGTCAGTGGGCGCCGCATCGGGCGCAGGGATACTCATCGGTGAACTACCCGGGGAAAAGAAGCACTTTGGACTGGAAACTCATAGTGGATATATTGGATGAATTAGAATTAGATGAATTATATTCCACCTATTTATGAGACTTAATTGATACCTTAATTCTACCTCATAGTCGCATTCGCACAGATCCTTCTACGATACCACATGTACATGTATGGTACGCTCATCAATAGCGGCGCCTTTACCTCGAGATTTAAGTAAATTGTGCATCTACCAAACCCAGCCACAACCTGTGAGGAAACATCTATCAACTCGGATATTCAGCCCCAAACACATCCAGGCCATTCTGTCACCACAGCTATCACATGATTGATCCAGGGTACGCCCTGTAACCCCTCTTGAGCCGCATCTTATCCCAACCTCAGGCCACCAACCATCATAGCCCCAGCCACGTGGATTGTCCCGCTTACCTAACTGTGTAACGGCCTCTTTCCCCCGCGTCCCGATTTTACACCACTGCCCCGCTAGCTCAGGTCCGGGTTTATAAAAGCCCGCATACCAGCTAGCTACTTGAGCTAATCCAAAATCCAGAAACAAACAAACCAAGCTTCACATCATTGTTTTCTTTTCTGTAATTTCTTTCTCTTTCTCAAGCAGCAATGTCACATGCAAGGCGTCTCCAACGGGAGCTTCAGAAAGTATGTTAGCATAATCCCCTGGATTGAGCTCCTAGAAATATTACACTTACTAAGATTTCTAGATGCACCAAGACGTGCCAGTGCCAGGGATCACAATGGTCAACACAGAAAATTTTACACAGTGGCAGATGGATATCGAAGTTCTTGACCAAAACCCAATCTACCATGGCAAGATCTTTCGCCTGAACTTCAAATTCACAGAAAACTACCCAATAGAAGCGCCAGAGGTTATGTTTGTTAGAGCTATTGATCGAGGTGCGTTCTGGATCCCTGAATCGATAAGTCAGGTTAAGCTAACACAACTCCAGAAATCCCCATGCACCCTCACATTTACTCCAATGGCGTCATCTGCCTAGATCTCCTCTCTTCTGGCAACGGCTGGTCACCCGTCCAGAGTGTGGAATCCGTCTGCATGTCAATTCAGTCAATGCTCACAGGCAACACCAAGAATGGTACGCATGTCACTATGTCAGCTAGTTGACATATACTGATAAGATAACCAGAACGACCTCATGGTGACGAACAGTTCGTCCTTGGCGCTGGAAGGTCCCCTAGGCATATTAGATTTGTGTATGACGATCCTACAGTTTGATACCCTGACAAGCTATAGGGATTAAAATTGGTTTGGCAGTACACGTATGTCTCTGCCAAAACTATTCTTTTCTCTCTTTCTCTTTTGTATTTCTTATAACTTTTTAAGGCGTCAAGGTTCACACAAAAGGACGTCTAGGCATACATGGATGGGGTTACAGGTTTGAGTAGGAAGACTTACAATTGTTATTATGGATATTTACAATAAATAAGCTCGTTGCATTCTAGCCTCAGATTTCCTTGAGCTTGTTCAAGTCATGGTCGATCACTCGGGATAGACTCATCATAATTTGTCACTCTACCAACTACTCTTTCAAACCTGAAGGGTTATAACACCTAAATAAAACCCCCACCCAGGTATACCCCCAATGTTCATTCAACAGAATTGTTTGAGCCCAAAATACACATGAGCATATGCCTCAAATGGTTATACCCCAGCGTCCATCTCGATCATAGCGACCACAAAGCCCGTAAGATCGATACCAAACAAGCCCTTCGAGGAAAAAATTATTGACAGTATCTAATCAGTAATTTGTAGTGATCGAGTCATTAACGATTACATACATGGTTGCACGGTTCTGGTTCTTGGCAAATGCCAATGATCGAAAACACAATAAATCGACACTAAGCGCCAGCGATGCGCTAGTTATATAAACTTAGTTCTCAACGACACTTAATTAGACTCGCAGTGAAGGGGATAGTTAGACGAGGAGTTGCGAGGCTTAACTCCTAAAACCAGACTCCAAATAAAAGCTAAGTATTGATTTATTAGTAGAAACTACCAAGTCTCACCATCCCCTCTCTCGCCATCTTCTCCACTGCTCTAAGCCTCAAACGTCACAAATATGAGTGTGTGGTTATATGATATTGAATTTGTCATTATTATCGGTATCATTATCAACAAAACCAACCTACATAAAAACGAGAAACCTCGAGACAAGCCTTACTCTAAATGAGTATATATTACTACTTCACCCCCAGCGGAAAGCAGAATATTTGAAAAGATAGGGATATAACACGGATATATAATACCTAAATTATATATAGCTTGTTCTTAGACGGCCACTCTAGATCTAGTCGTGGAGGTACGACCGATAGGTCTCGAGATTTCCTTGGCTTTGAAAGAATTTCGTGAGACAACATAAATGAAGTGGTCTTGATCCTCTTTGTCAGGGAATGACTAAGCCAAATTTACACAGATCACGGAGAACAGCCTATAAATGATGTGTTTTTGTGAGATCTGATGCTATAACAGGACCGCTTGCTCAAGCACCAAAACAGGCGATTATACAAAAAGTATTAAGGCAGGCCAACAACTACTATCGAGCTCTAGTTTATTAACCCTTTTAGTACTTAAGATCATTCTAGTGGATGTGATTACCGATCAAGCTAATTGCAATATGCTTATTCCTATGGTTAAAAGTACGGTCACACAAGCCTCATGAGAAAGGCTCACCAATGAGCCCATTACCAGGCGACTCACATGAACACATGTATACAGCAAGTATGGGGATTATTTGGTTGGGTCACCGAATATCACTCGCTCGATCGCTACGATCGACAGACACTTGATCGTCACGAATCAAATTTCCCAGAACGACACGTCCATATGACATATATAGAGGTGACACGTTACAAAAATGTGAAAAAGAGAAACTAGGCCTCTAACCCCAACATCGACGTGAGATTACCAATCATACCGTATCCATCAGCATTTGGGCCGACCAGCCCGGTGCGGGTAAATATGAGATCATTGGTATAGAAGTAACCCTCCTAATACATGCGTATACATATAAGTTAATGATCTCGAGAGCTAGGCCCACCCTACACGATAAAAATACCTAAAAGTAGCTCCACGACCGGAAAATCGCGAATAGATTGACAGATTGAATGCTATACAACGATTCATTGCAATCGAATGCTTGACTTGTTACTCCTTCCCCTGTATGAGCATACATGTTTATCACCGTTGATACATGACTATGTATATATATAAGGCAATTATAGGTGTAATTCTATGAAGCTTCGTTGAGATCGAAGACCCAATTATCTCTTCCACAAGGACACTCCTTCAACGACTTCCGCCAGGCACGTGCGTTTTCAGCTCACCTTCATCAAACTGATTGAGTCGCGCTCCAGATCAACGATCACGGCGTGTTATTGCACATCTCGTGTCTATCGCATATTTACCCTTAGACCATCACACTTTTTTTCGTTTCTAAACCTAATTAGGCTATCCTGCGCCCTAACGACAGACCTATATATGGATGCTATATTCGACTTCATTAACCCTAACAAAACCCTAGCAGAGTCGCCTTTGGGAGTAACGAATGCAACTGAGCACTCTGTTACAACTGCTTCATATATCCCATTAATTCCAGAGCAGTAGTTAGATTATGCCAGTGAATTTTATACAGTGGAGTCCCAATAGTAGCATTCTCGATAATAGCATATCCTCGATTGTAGCATATAGTTGGGCAATCCCAGACGAGTCGGTACGGGCAATTTGTTCTCGATACAAGCATATTCTCGATAGTAGCACACGAAAATCCGTTCCCGACCATATACTACTATCGAGACTCCACTGTATTGATAAAAACAGCTTTGACTTACTGGGCCTGGAACCGTTATTAGTTCACATCTTTTCAGATAAAACGATGGGTGATAAGCCGTGATGGATCTATCTTACCAACGTCATTCATTTGCCCAATTGCCGCTCGCATCAATTAATGTGACAAAGTTTTGTCACATTTCCCATGGGCAAATCATCTACATGCCAGGTCTCTGGCGACAGAACCATACATGTCATTACGTGTATTAAGAAACCAAGCCTTCCAGTTGCTTTGATTTTTTCATTCCCGGGTATCGACACCGACACCGATCGAGGAGGGGAAATTGTGCCCATTAAGCGCGGCTGTCAACTTTGTCACCTCCGTAATTATTCGGTTGAATTGTACGATTGCCAAGAAAGGATCATTCCAGGATCGGATGAACAGTTTTGAAACAACCCATGGGGATCTAAGATCTTAGCAGGTCGATGTGTTGATAAAACGGATATCGTTATGCCAAACCAGATGTGAGTGAGTGATAATATATGACCTTCCGACGCAACTCCGATTTCAGTAATAGAGTCAGATGCAATGGATGTTTCAAGTTTTTGCTGAGCCAGGTCCGACTGAGCTAGCTGACTACTTATCTATCTATCAGTTATTCTAGATTCATGTAGGAACGACTGATTCTGTAGACTGCTGGGCTGAGTTAGAGAAGTATGCGAACCTATTTCTTCCCGTCTTGTTTTGAGGAGGGGTTCGAGTCACTCTTTTTTTTTTGTCCTACAACTATTACAACTCGAGCAGTGGCTTAGTTGTTTGAGGTTCGGAGACTCTTGGTTCGCGATCGAGGGGTTGCATCTATTCGCGACCAACGATAATCCAATATTTACGGTGGTGCGGGCATGTGCATCGGAGTTGCGGCTCTAGACCGCTTTGGCCGCTTAGTTGGCGGAGGTACCTACCCGGTGACCTTTTTCGCTCCGTAAGGCACCGATTCGTAGGGCACTAACTGATGCAAGTGAAATTTGACAGGAGGAATTATATAACTGCACAGCTGTACAGCTGATCTACCAACTGATTCAAAAACTGATTTGCAAACTGATTTTATTGACTGGCTGGCTTAATTCTGACTGATTTACTGACTGATTTACTACAGCTGGCTGAGTTGCTGACTGATTACTGACTGATTGCGGACTGATTACTGACTGACTGATTCGCGCATACAAGGATCTAGGCGAGCAAGAGAGAAGTAACAGATGCCCGACTTGTGGGGAAGCAGCGGCAAAGTCATGCAGTGATTGTGAGTGGGGGATGTTAGAGATGGTGTGACGTCTGGGGGCCAGAGAGATGGAGAGGGGGGGGAGGGAGAAGCAACATGCGATATGCCCAGTTCACTATTCAGGGCATCTTCTGTGATACAAGGAGGTCGATGCCGCGGGAGTTCTAGATTTGGGAATTGAAAACATTTGACTGGCACGTTTATGGAACGGGTAGAACAAATAGTGCGAGCGAACGAACGAGCGAGGGGGCCCTTAATTCATGTGGGATATACTCGTATACATGGGGGGCAATGGCTTTTATTATTTTACCGCTGCGATTGTCGTCGTTTTTTGTCTTTGTCTTTGTGTGTCCTCGATCCTCTCCCCTCTTCCTTACTCTCTCCTAAGTCTCCGGAGTTGCTCCGTCCCACTCAGCACCTCAGCACCTCAGGTGTTCTGTTCTGCCCCCTCACTTTGCTGTCAACAAGCAAGCACCACTACCAACCCACGGACTAGCCACCCATCTACCCTTTTTCTTTCATCGACGCCCCTCCTCTCCTCATCGCCAGATTCTCCACACCACTCTTCTTTTATTTTTTTTGCCGGGTTGTCTTAATCGTCGTTGCTTGCCTCGTGTTTGTATTGCCACTTGGCCAATCGCTAGTTTACACCTCTTATTGTCGCACTAGTGCCTGAACTCCACGCTGATTGATAGGCGCCACAATTCCGCTATTACAACATCCCATCAAGCAAAGAATATAATACAGAGCCAAATCAGTAATTTTTAAAAAAAACCATTTCTCTTGAATTTGAAAAATTTCACTCTAAACCACTCGCTACTTAAGGGAACAACTCCAATACCTCTCAATATCAACTCCAGTCAGATACTGAGAGCTATGTCTAACCAGGATATTCCCCAATATTTTGAGTTCGGGACAGGTTTTCCAGAAAACGAATTTTTCGGCGAAGGTGGCCCCATCGACTCTTTACTTAGCTTTTCCAACGTATTCAACCATGCTAGCGGTCGCTCAGTTATGCATTCGTCAATCCAAAACCGCCCAGGCTTGACAAGAGGAAGGATTCCTGGGCTCCCCCCATTTCTTCACCACCACCCTATCATTGATATGGATCCTATGGCGTTCTTCGGGCAGCAACAGCCACCACAAGTGGGATTTCCAGCACGGTTAGGTGTCGACCGCCGCTATGAGAGGATACATACACAAGCCCCGCCCTCACCTCCCATCCCACAACCTTTAAGTGGACGTAATCGAAAGCGCCGCGCTTCAGAAAAGGCGATCTCAGAACTTAAGCACATGCGCTTAATCGACCTTAAAGAAGATGATGACTGCTGTATTATTTGTATGGAACCATTCGTGGACATTAAAGCATCCACTGATGAACCCAAACAAGAGAACGCCCTTCAGATGCCATGCGGCCACATGTTTGGTTCTCATTGCCTTAAGCTTTGGCTTAAGGATCATAGCACATGTCCCACTTGTCGCAAGGAGGTGGACTTTGTTGAAGAGGATGAACGGGGCGCCATGGCAACAAATCGTCGGCGGGTTGGTGGTGTAGATCTGCGTCATATCCCAGGAGTGTCAAGTAGGCGTGTGGGACGGGAGGCAACAGTGAACCGGCTTGTAGAAGTAGAGGTGATTGTTCGGCAGCAAAGGTTTGCTGCCCCTCCATCACAAGAGCAGCTGGAGCCAGCAACAGTAGCAACACGGGTTGGCGTGACAGGAGAAGCAGGATGGATGGCAGCGGCAGCGGGAGTGGTAGCAGGTCCACATGTACCACCGGCACCACCTGCGAATCAGTATTCGCAGTATATGAGCATGGTTGGTGGTGCGTTTCCGAGTATTAGAATTGAGGCATCGATGAACCGCCATCTACCACCGGCAGGGCTCCCAGTAATGCCTACTCAGCAGACGGTACCAAGGGTCTGTGGTCCCCACCACCCAGGACATATCCACAGAGTTGCTGGTTCTCCTGCTTTCGCTCATGGAGTGTTCCATAATACAGGCACCGCCTTACATGCACAGCAGCAGCAGCAGCAGATGATGAATCAACCAGATCAACCACATGTACCAGCGAGCATGCCTCAACGCTCTCAATCTCACAGACACTCATTACGACAATCTCAATATCAACCGTACCCAGAGGTACTTACTGCTCACCATAGCTCGCCGATCACCCCAGAGTCGATGATCGGCATGTACGGTGTTTCTCCCTTAGGGCTTCCTCCCCCAGGATATTCCTCCGTAACAACGAACATCACGCCTGATAATCCAGCACAGGCCCCGCTCCCAAACCAATATGGTGTGCCACGATGTCCGTGGAATCCCGCTGTTCGTGCGCAACAACAGCAGCAGCAGCAGCAGCAACAGGTATACCAGCAGCGGCAACAACGCCAGCAACGTCAACAGCAACAGCAAGGAATGTATCAACAGCAGCAAACCCCTAACATCGACCCTTCCCCAATTTCCCCACTTTCTCACCTCCAAGTCTCCGGCTCAAGACGCGTTTCAGCAGCTTCACAGGATCAGTGTGATTACACAGATATGTCCATGTGTCAACACCAGTTTGGCAACATCAATCCTGAATTCAGCGCCGGCAATATCGCACTGCTGCCACCAGACCAGACACAGATTATACACCTAAATTGTGGACATGGGTTCCATAGAGCTTGCCTGTTATCAACCACAAAATCGAGGGCTCCGAGGGGTGAGGCGCAATGGTTGTGTGGGAAGTGTGGAAGATATGAAAACGAGGTAGAGGGGAGGCAACAGCAGCAGATAAATGAGCAGTCACAGGAGGTAGCAGAGTAGACCGGTTCTGTGGATCTAGGGTGGGTGTGAGGAAGGGGGTTGAATAAGGGATAATAACACAAACCACATGAATCTGGGGTTTGAGGTGTGATTTCTTTTATTACATGTGGCCTATTTTATCGTGCCAATTTTTTAGGGGGCTATTTTTTTTCTCTCTTTTTTTCCTTTCCATATTATGTAGCGCTTTCCTTCTCTTCCCTCCACGACCTTTTTAATGTTCTGGCAATTCTTTATACATATTGGTCTGTGCTACATTTATCACAAATGATGTTTCCCTTTATTTTCTTTTTGCTGTCGGATGAAGAGAAGGCAAATTTTACAACGAGGGCGGGTGTTTGAATTGATTTGTAGGAATAGCTGCAGAATTAGGGTTGCGATATATCTCCGGGAACTAGAAAGGCCGTAGGGGGCCCTTCATTTACTATTAAGTACACCTACTTAAATTTACGAAAACTGTTCTCGGTGTACTAGGTGTCTCGCCATGACTTTCGAGTTGAAGAAACGTACTTTTGCTAATCAAACTACATTTCCCCCCGTTAATTGTTAATATCAGAAATTCTCCTATAGGCCTATCTTATATCATGACGCAATTAAAGAACAAACATCTTCATTGCCATAACTGTAAGGTTGCATGCAATTAATGAATTAAAAAAAAAATCATCACACAAAATATGTGCGAGTGATATATTGTGACTAGGCCATTAGCGATCATGATTTACACTTCCAAGATACGTAGCCAGTTATACATCCTACCTCGAGGCCTATATAGATGATGTCAACAAGTGTACCGCACTATACGATAAAGAGAATCTGGCTACGGGTTAAGGATTATCTGTTCAGCAAATATTGGTCGAAGGATATCGAGATGGTTTTCCGAGCACTGCCAATTATTGATTGGCTTACGGTAGAAACCCAGCCCAGTTCTAATTCAGCCTTCCATGTGGAGGCCTTAGAGTATTGCCAGAGACAATACTTGAGGCTTTTAGTTTTGTAAAAGAGCGTACTTAATCCAGCGTAGAGAGCTTCCAGGCTCCGGGCCTTACTGCTGCTAATAGTATCTTTATTATATCTATCACGGAAGATATTAAAACCACTACTCTGTCAACGAGTCTTCGGAGACAATAGAAGTTTCAGTGTAAAGGCTCAATAAGTCGGGGCTTAAAATGATTCTCTGAGCAAGCTGGGGGCCTATATATTTGCCCTTCTTCAGTAAGATTCTTCTTTTTTATCACTATACAATTATATAATTATATCTATCCACCCATCCGTTTAATCTAAAATCGCAAGAGTTCTAGATAGAACAAAGATCGTGACGTGTTATGGGTAAATGCAACTTGTTAGCCTTTACTTAATAGCTATGTATGTTGTACACCCACATCCCTATGCGATATATAGTTACGTGGCAACATTCAAATATTTATCCTTTAAGTGGATAATCTATCCTATTCAAGTTTCTATGACTGCGTCAGCCTCAGAATTTCTTTCTTGCTTCAAGTTACTACTAACTAGACCGGTGTTCTCCTCACGTACTGTTCGTGACAAGCTTTTCTGCCACCAAAGCTACAGATTTCAGTGAGCGTTTTTGCATAACAAGCAAAGGCGAGTTTGCCACCAGCTATTTCAACCCTTGACCCAGCCTAGACGATGCTTATCAGCCTGATAAGGCTTATGTCGATCAAAGAGATGATAAGGGCAAATTTCCACTTGACCACTTTCAGATTTAATAATTGGCTCTGAAACACCGCTAGCACGAAAGTAATTCAAGCACCACTACTAAATTCAGTAACCAGTACTAATTGTCTACTAGCCACTTCAGGTCAACAAATAAATCATCCCTCGTCTCTAAAGTTCTAAGCAAGCATGCGTTTTATTTCTATTTTTCACGCCACTAACTATGGTATTTAGTACCTAATAGGGTCTCAAACCAATCTAAATGCCGGTGCTCCCGAACCCTCCAGCACCCCTCACAGACTCTTCCAAATCTTGGACCTCCTCAACTTCGGGGGTGTAGATCTACATTCATTAGCCACAACCCCCGCCACGCTGAACAAAAGGGAAAGAACAAACCCTCTCCAACACAAGTTGTGCAACACGGTCTCCTTCCTTGACTTCAAAATCGGAATCCGAGTGGTTGAAAAGCAGCACTTTCACCTGGCCACGGTAGTCGGCATCAATGACGCCCGCACCTACATCAATGAAGTTTTTGGACGCAAGGCCGCTACGGGGCGCGATTCTCCCATCTATATATAGTGGGTTAGGACTTGATAGAGGCGAGAGATTGATGGTTGACTGGGGGCTTACAGGTTCCGGCAGGGACAGCGATGGAGATATCAGTATCGACCAGAGCCTTCCCACGGGCTGGGATAATGGTAGCGTGGGAGCTATTTGCTATCAATACTACTACACTCTAGCACAGTACGTTCAAGCAAACCAAGGAAATTTACTACCTGTAAACGTCGTACCCAGCTGCAAACGCAGAGCCGCGGGTTGGGAGCTGTGCCTTAGGGGAGAGTTTCTTGACCAAGAGCTTCATGGCCGGCTCGACAGGTGGGGGGGCAAGGACTGAAGACATTCTGAGGATGAGTAATGGGGCAAACCGTGAGGTGTTTTGAGGATTGTAATGATCAAGTGTCGTGTTGCAAGGTGTAAGGGAGACGCGCCGGAATGAGATGTGGGAATTTAAGTATCTGTGCCTTTTCCCCCCTCTGGTGCTGATTGGCTAAAGAAAAAAAAGTAGAAGCTCTACCTACGAGGGGCGGGAGGGGAAAGCTTTTTTTTCCTTCTTTTCGCTGAGTAGCCTTATGCACCATGCATCAAACGCGATACCAGTCCGGAATAGGAAAGGGCCAGTGCAGTCTACAATTGCAAGCACCCTCACTCTTCACGGCAGGAATGATCAAAAAAATAAACAAAGTAAAACAAAAAGTTGATATCTATTAAATTTCATGCGGGGTATTGCGCAGAAACGCTCCAAACATCAAATATCCGCCAATTTTAATCTATACCCGAAAGAAGAAGAAAAAAGCTACAGCACATGTATGTATGTATGTATGCATGTGGAGCCGATCACAGCCCCTCACTCGAGCCTCGCAGCTTTAACGCACACACCCGGATCTAGCAACTCCCTCTGAGATTGCACCAGCCTTAGCTCCGATGCCTTCGTGAGTCTTACGTGTCTTGCGCGCTCCTCTAAAGCTTCATCCGGCACCGCAGCTCTCAAGGTCACCATCCTGCGATCCCTTGCCTCCTGCGTCTTCAGCAATACGTTATGCATGGACCCCAACACCTTCTCGACGGCCCTAGCGAGCGGTAGTTCCAACGCGTCTACCTCATCCGGCGACATCCAGGATGCTGTCCCCAGCAGCCCATCCGCCTCCGCTTCCGCACGAAATCGAGCCATGGTAAGCGCGGCAAACATGTCGCCAGTGCCCGAGAAGAAGCCATCGATGATGGAGACGTCGACGACGAACTTCCGGGAGTTGCCCGTGCTGGTGACAGTGGAGCCAGCACATTCCATCTTTTTGTCACTGGTGCCAAAAGTCACGGAAGTGATAATGACATGTGGGACTTTGTAGATTTGGTGAAGCGTTGTGAGTGCCTGGGAGAGAGACTCGAGAGAGTCAACCTTGACACCAGAGAGAAGCCTATGAGTCGTTAGCTTGGGAAATGGAGATATAGCCTTAGATGCTCACTCGGCCTCAAACTGGTTCGGTACTATCAAGTCCGCTAGTGGCAGCAATGACTTGTATACTGGGATCACATCATCAGCGACATACAGCCGGCCCTGATCTCCCATCACCGGGTCCAACACTGCACAAAACCTCATCAACACAACGAACCTCTAGCAGCCAATTAGAGCTAGGAAAAATGAGATGGAAAACCTACACCAAAAGACCTTCTTTCTCCCCTTCAAATCCCTGACTATCTCACCGACGACCTCGACACCTTCGGCGCCGGGTATATACCCCGTCAACAACATGCCAAAGTCGTCATTTCCATTCATTTTGAGGCCCTCATAGAGCTCCTTAATCTGCGCACCGGTAGTGCGGTACCCTTTCGTCTGTTTGTACCCTGAGTGGTTACTGAACTGCACCGTATTGAGCGGCGAGACCTCAAGCCCCATCACTTGGAGCACAAATGTAGTGACGCAGTTTCCGACATAACTGTTGAATCGTAGCTTCCCCCGTACGCGACGCAGGAAAATAGTTTGATTAGTCTACGTTTACATGCAATAATTGGGCCGGAGGTGTTCTCCATTGACTATATAGAGCAGTTTAGATATCTCAGGCCCCCCACCACCCCCCACGATATTGTGGGGGATGTGAGGAAGGGTAGGGTGTGGAATAGGCTAATCAATGATCGTATGTATGCATACCCAGATACAACCTTTCACGATGCATACCCGTCAGCCTCAGATCTCGTGAAATCTTGGTAAAGTACGGATAATCTAGCTGTGGGTTGGGGACTGGGAGGCGGGGGCGGGAAAAGAACTGAGCGTTACATGGGGGGCTGGAGGGGGGGTGGGGAGGGAAGAATTTTCATACATGACTTGCGATGGCCAGCACTCGACTATCCTCAGCAGCAGCCATGGGGGGGTTTCAGTTTTTTCCAAGCCTTGGTTTGAGGATAGATCGACGAATCGGAAATTTAAACACTCGACAGGAGGCGTTGACAAAAGTTAATGCTGTGCTGCTGCTGCTGAACAGGGGGCGGTGGTTGAAGGGCTTTTATGGGCAGAGTTGTTAGCTACTGTGCTCCTTTAGTCAGTAGGGCACGATCCAATGGGGCATTCAAGGACCCTTTCAGGAACTAAAAAACACCCTAGCCCATATCTGCTGCCAAGAGGTTCCATCGTCACCAGCAAAGAAACCCTTTCAGCAGCAACAGGAAAAAAAAGGAAGTTGCACCTGCATAGAAAAAACGAACTCCGCAGCGCCGCAGTATGTCACAGAACGGGTTCGCGGGCCCTGCTGCTCCCCCAAGGTCCTCAGGGTCCCAACGCGATGACCTCACAACGTCGTGTCGCCAGAATTGAAATTATCATGTAACCTCAGCCTGTCGTTGGAAGATTGACGATTTGATTTTTCACAAATTCAAGATCTCAAGTTCCCGCGACGGACAACAACAATTACAACAACGACGACGTCGGAGAAAACTCATACAACAGGACTCCTGGCCGAAACCCACGATGTACCCCTAACCCAAACTATACGCCATGCCAGTTCTGGCAGGCACTAGCCAATCAGCCAGCTCACTATTCACTCAGTTACATGGCCACGTCTTCAGGACTACTCTATCTACCAGGAACTAAGCATCATGAAGCAGGTAGGATGAAGTAGGAGAGGAAGCAGGAGCTTCCTGTTGCTCCATCCAGATGACGAGAGTTTGATGCTATGTATATGTAAAGTCCCGACGACTTATTCAGGTTTTGGGAACCATACGGCGGGCCTATAGGAACCTCTCGATCATACCAAGAGTTCGAAAGGGATAATTAATTAGACACCATCATCATCATCGGGACCTCAGAGGGCCCTGACTAATTCTAAAATATCCTGTAATTATATTCCGAACCTGCTAGAGCCGTCCCGATCTCTACCCAATACAAACTCGGGCGGCAAACCAGAAGACTACACGGGCCAAAACCAGCTTCTTTTTCTTCTTCCTCCTTCATCTCAGGCCCCATCCATCATCAGCACTCCCCATTCGCGGCTCTGAAACAGTTCCGACTGGGCCACTACGTAGAGCAGCTACTTACAATCTTACATAGCTAGATTAGTGGGGGCCAACTACATGACATGTAATGAGTGCTCAAGTAAGTATTGGCGGTACCAGCTACTGTCCGCGCCTCTCATCGTATTTGGCCGACTAGTTGAGCCGAACCTACTCCAGCTGAACACCTCCCCTCTGCGCCCCAACCCCTCCCCCTCCCCGCCTCACCCGAGCCCGCTCCAGATCACGGGTTTGGCGCCCCAGTAGTTTCTCTCTGTTAGTTGGGGCATGCTGCACAATGAGCTTGCTTTGCTTAATTGAGGCTTACATATAGCTCTCCGCTCTAGCTACAGTAGGTGATCTACCTCCGCGCAGAGCGGGGGTTAATAAAGAGGGGGATCAAATCAGGGATGCCCCCCCTCCCTCCCTCCTCATCATACATAAGAGAGCAGAGGAGAGGCTGAAACATTGATAGAGTGAGTGAGTGAGTCCAGAGTCACCATTTCTCAGCTGAAGAATGGGTGTGTGGTGAATGAGTAACTACAATCCTTTCCACACACACATCACGCACCTGCCCACTCATTCACTCACTCACTCGACCACCCCCTTCACAAACCCCATGCAAGCTGCGGGGAGAGGAGGGAGGTGGGGTGTGATTAGCGAAAGAGTGCATGCACTTTACGCCTTTTTAGATAGAGCGGATTAATTGGCGGATGGTTGCCTGCCTGCCTCCCGATAGTAAAAGTGGTTGTGGTGGTGGTCTGGGCGTAGGTAGCTACGAACGAGCTAGCTTACTCTACCTCAACTCTACTCTAAGCAAAAAAGACGGTAGAGTCAAAAAAGGGAAGAGGGGCGATAGGCTGATTGATCATCGTGATAACATTGATAGATGCACACACCACACTCTACTTTTCCCTACCTCTGCTCTGTGCTCTAGAGACTCTACCTAGCAAGGCCACCACCTACCCTTTCCAGATCGACAGGGACTGCCTAAAGCTGTATATGTAGGTAGGTGAGCTTGCCTGCCTGCCTGCCTGCCTGCCTGCTTACTTTACTTGCCTGGTTGGTTTGATTTGATTGCCCTCTACTTAAACTTCTTACCACAAACTAAAAATCCGACGCCGGTGCCGAAAGCCGAACAGCTCGTCAACACCGGGAAAAATAAAATTCATTAACCTTAACTTCTAGAGCACACTCTGTCTACATAAGCTTGCTAGTAGTGAATCTATAATCTACCGTCCCTCCCCCGTGCACCCCCTCCAGGTAAATCCCGGTAGAGTTCGGTAAAACTTCGGTCAAGACTTTTTCTTTCCCCCCCACTCTTTCATTGCCTAGATCTTTGGCAGAGGGCAGGGTAAGGGGAAGGGAGAGAGGTGATGATGAATCTGATGATGCGGCCTGCACCAAACGAAGTAAGCAGGTCAAACAAGCAACAATCTATCTGCTGCGCCTAAGAATACTAAGCCTAAGCTTGTTTGCGTCAATCAACACAGATGGGGTAGATGATAGACAAAGTTGCAAAGTTGGGGTTGTGTGTGCTCTTCTAGTTCAATAAGATGATCTAACTATATTTCGTAAAAGGAGCCCTACTAGTTAAAAGCAAGATCAGAGGTCCCTGGATCGTCGCACTACTGCTACTAACTACCAGTACTGCTAACCAACCCAACCAACCCAACCGGCCCAAAAGTCATTACCAAACACTAAACAGACCCAGCAACTACAAGTAATAAGGTTATCCTAAAACCAAAAACAAAGTAAACAATCCATCATCACTCATCTCATCTCTCAAAGATAAAGGGTTAAGAAACTAGTATACAGATTTGCACAAAAAAGTCCCATGTTCCATCCACAGCGTAAAAAAAT